AATTTGATCTCGTCGGGGCGCTTTTCCTTCGATTTCGACGTAGGTTCTATGCATGAGCTCTTGAATAATTATGAGCATAGAATATCCTCGTACACCACCTCCATCTATATAGTCTTAGTAAGATGCGCGAAAGGTTGAAGGGATTGTTTGCTTTACCTAGAGATAAGATGCGCAAAGGAGGACCCTTTGTAGTATCCTTCCTCTTGACCACACCAGTATCAACCATCGTATTATTGAAGCTCTAGAGGAAAACCTCGTCTGTGGTTGTTTCTTTTTCGTATCCTTTTCGTATCCTGTTGGTAAAGGGAAACTTGCTAAAGTTAGGTAGGTATTGTTATTCCAGATGAAGTGGGGATGCTGCAACGGAATAAACGAAGAAGGTGTAGAGAAGTGGCGCAGCGGGATCTTTTGTAGTGATGATGATCACTGGGGTTCTGGCTATCTTATCCGACAACGTTGGAAAGACAAACAAACGATGACTAGATTTGTATGGTGGGTTACTGTACTTTCCTCGCACGACCGTACCGTGTTGAAATTATTCAGATTCAAGAGCTCCAATGTGCCATGGAGTTTTAATATCTATTTAACTATAGATATTCTAATTTTTGAGTTTCGTGGTTTCGCAAGCTCTCCCTTGAGTTTAGGCGGAATAGGAGTAACGAACCCCTCCAAAGAGACGACGGTATGTAAGTCTTACCTAGTAATCTTTGTTCCTAGTGGTATCTTTACTGTATCTTTTAATATACTGTGACGCGATTGTTTAAATCTTGGGCAAACCTTTCATAAAGCTATGGGGTATCGTAGGGGATCTTAAGGCTGTGAATCCTTGAAGTAACATTCAAGTAAACTTTTCAATAAATGCCGAGCCGCCCGTGTGAAACATATTTGATAATTAAGTTTGTTATTATCGTATCAAAGATTTTTACTGGCCGAAGTCACAGGAAGGTGATCGTTCTAAAGTACTCGATGATTCTGTTCTATGGGGAAAACTGCAGGGCTGCACATGAACTTCTCCTGACTATCAGTTGCTCTTGTGTTCACGTAAGAAGCAAACATATAAGTTTAGTTTGAATGTATTCAACTAATCAAGGCTATCCGAACATGTCTAGGTGCTTGTGCTCAATGAGAAGCAATCAACATCAAGAATAGGTAGAAGTCTTCCGATGTATCCGCACCGATCAGTAAGGTTGTCGTTCTGGAACTGTCCATACGAAAATTCTACAACGAGCTTCCTTTCTAGATGTTCGCCCGAAGTTACTCGTAAGTCCACCACGACTACTTAGGATAAGATGCCCAAGAGTATCTCGCATAACACTTTTACATCATTGGTTTCTTTTATCTTGACTAGATGACGTTTGAGGATAGATTTGCTAGGTTTCTTCAGCTGGTTTGCACGCCAAGATTGTGGTTTTAGTGGATGATTATGAAAGTCTGTGGCGGTGCACTTGGAATCCACACAATACCTTTGATTTGCAGCGAATGACATATCCGTATGCGCGCTGTGAGATGCCGAGAGTGCCTGATCCGAAAGCTATGATTACTTAATTTACAATTAATTGTCCATGGCGAGCGAGCGAGCGAGTCTACAGAGCAAAGTTCTCATTGTGAATGAAAAGGCTGACCGAAGAATGCCCAACAAACAATCAATTTCGGATACCTCCACCATGGAATTTCCATGCTGTCCAACGCCTAGCACATTGGTCTTGCGAGCCGTTGTCGATACTTCCTGAATACAGAATTACGATAGATGAAAATAGTTCAACTACGTCAAGTATGTCGTAATAGATCTAGGGTATCAAAACCTCAACAAGATACTCGTGGAGCCATAAAGTATGCAATTCCGAAGTTAGATGCTCTTTACTTCGTACTACAAGATGGTAAACTACAAGAGGAGTAACCTAGTTTTCTTAGCGGTAGAGCTGCATATTTCACAATGCCATTTCCGCACCAGATGCAGTGGTTGCTTCAACTCCTGTAGTTCAATTCTGCACGGTTGGGGAACGCCCTAGATGTACAAAAATATACTGTCAGTGCAAGTATTAGAAACCGTATAAAAGATATTTTCATCAACTTCAAACATCATCACGATTTCCGTCTGTAGCTTCTTGAAGATCAAGGCATCAGAAACTTTTCACACCATGTAGAAATCGGATTTTCTACATTGCAGGTGTGAAATAGCATTTGTTCTTTTTTCGATTCGTATTAAATTCGCGATTGGTGCCCCTTCATTCCAAACCACGTCGTCGCTAGACGGTTTCACATCAATTACGATGATGTCGAAGTTGGGATATATACCTAGGTATCATTCGTACGGATCTAAATAATTCATTCCTACTACAAAACTATGTATTTCGATCCTCGACTGTCAAGACTGTCATTTTCTTGGACCCTATGAAATTTAGCTGATTCCGAGGCATGTTTAAAGGTTTTTGTTGTGGTCTGAGTTCCATGTCTGAAGCTTATCCCGGAGACAGAATTTGTTTGTTCTCTCCATGATATGTTAGCAATCCCACTTGAAATTCTCACATGTTATCTACAGCATTTATAATCTTTCATTCTCCTTGCAAACCCCAGATTCAATACATATTGATCACTTATTGATCCCTCAGTTCAAATCTGAACCCCAAGTTTTCCGTCGTATTCCATTTGACGAATCAACCCTTGTGCCAAGAAGTTTTGGTCCGAGTCAAACTCCTGACCCCAATCATGACCGCCAAGTCAAACCTCAAAATGCTTCACATTACAAAATTAGGATGAAATTCATCACAGCATTTGGCTTGGTAGTTTGATGGTCAGTTTAGGATCTTGTCGAATTTCTAGGCGTTGTAAGTGATAATTACATTAAAAGATGAGAAGTTCAATCATTTTGTCGATTTTGGTTGAGTCTACTTCGATCTTTCTTGCTACTTCGATCTTTTTCTCCATTCATTTCTTTTCTCAGCGCTGGGCGTTTGGTTTAATCTCATCATGATTTTCACTCAAGATTTATTAGTTTTCTTATTCCTCACTCTTCTTGCCCCCGTTAATGCTTTGCCTAAGAAAAATGCTGCTTCTTCCACAACTAGTACGACAAAGGCAGCTACATCTGGCGGTATCACAACAGCATCGGATGGATCAATGATCTTAGATAAAACTGTTCAAATCAAGTAATTTTACACCATTCTATTTCACATGTAAATACTAATCAAACAGTGGTTTGCCAATTCGCTACAAAATCAGTGCTCCAGCCAATATGTTCACCTCAGCATCTGGCGTAACTGGCGGTACGGCATCAGCCAACACCACAGGAACCGCAGGTCTCAACGTTCTCCTTCACGGAGATGGAGGAACATCTTTCTTCGATTTCCCCAATCAAGCAGTCCAGAATAATCTCATGGGCGTCGTTGTTCTCGCTCCCAATAAAAATATGTTCTGGGGAGGTGGATCAGGTCTTCAACGTACAGATGGCGTCGCACACGCTGCTGCGGTTAATTCGCTCATTCAAACACAACTATCAAAAGATGTAGCATTCGATAATAAAAATGTCTTCTTCACGGGTGTTTCAGGGGGTTCGCTACTTCTTTCTGGATTTTTCATGCCGGCTTTCGGAGCGCAGTATAAGACGGGAGTTTTGTTGAATTGTGGTGCATTAACACCACAGGTGGCGGTTGTGGATCCAGATACGTTGGCGAAGAATACGAAGATTCATTTTCAGAGTTCGAAAGATGAATTGACCTTATTGCAACCTGCTATTCCGGATGCAGTTGCTGCATACGAGAAATTGGCTACGGCAGCGGGAATGACGACGGATCAAATTGGCAGCCTGCAGACAGTGGACAATACACCAAATGGAGGGGGTCATTGGTATGTTTTCTCTTAACGCCTGCCCGAAATGGAAGGTGTGGATATTGGGTTCTTTGAGTATAGCTAACCATTTGGGGGATATAGTGGATTCGATAATAAAGCCTTCGTATCAGGAGTTCAATTGATGGCAACGAATTATGCTAATGTCATGTCCGCGAATGCTTCTGGTCAGGTTACGGGGATTGGAAATGTTTTGAAGGTATGTTCCCGATCCTTGAGCTCCGATGTTGCATCGATGCTCGAATATCCAAGATATAAAGACCCAGGCTAATGTGTATGATAGACGGTGGTGGGAAATGAGAAATTAACTTTTATAACTGCTAATTGATGAAGTGGCGATTGAGATACCAGGGGTAGAGCCCTTTGGTAGAGGGCAAGGCAGTGGGTTGGGAGTTTATGGACTGCAGGACAATTTTGTCTGTATTGCGGTTGGACAAAGGAACGAGATGGCTTTGGCGTTTAAAGATATACCCAAAACTGGGGGTCTCGCACACTTATTGAGATATTCCGCATCTTCATAACCTTTACACGTAGTCGGGACCCCAAAATTCAATTTTCTTGTGATTTTCCAGTCTTTCTTGCCTCTTTTGCCACTTGCCTCTTGAATGTAGACGCGCTAGTTCGTCATGGGTACATCAACGTGCTCATTTTCAATTCCTTTTTCTTTCCTCCATTGTATCACACGAATGTATTCATTCAATCTGCAAGAATAAGTTTGATTTCAAAACAACCGAATTGTGAATTAAGATTGTCATGTCATACTGTTGAATTCCGGAAGAATCTCAGTCACCTCAGTGAGATGGCGCGGGGTACTACAGGCACATGGTACGAGATATGAAAGTGAATGGAGTTCCGAGGACCAGAAAAAATGATAAATTCTTCGATTTTACCCTCTTACGGCCTATATTTACTTAGATATTCTCCGCCTCATTAAATAGTACACAACTTCCATGTCCATCAAATCTGGTCTTAAAGTCAGGGATTCTTCTGCATATTACATTCTACTCCAGTGTGTGATTCTTCAACTGCGCTCTTGAGAATAATCGAAGGATCATTACTCATTGCTGCAGCCCATATACCGACATCTACCTTTCGAGCTACCGGTCCCTCTGTCAGACAGTCACTGGTTGCCAAATTCAGCTCTCTTTACTGTCATAATGGACGGTGATCATGCTCTCTCTCGGGTGGTTCGGGGAAAATTGACAAGATGGAAGGTAAGTCGGTCTTATCACTTTGTCCTTCGAAGATCTATTCAATACTGAAAACTTTACAGGCAAGGGCAGGATCAATAGGACGCTGGCGTGGGAGAAAGAATCCCTTGAAGCGAACTCGATCAAGTGCCAAAAAAGCAGTCGCTCCTATCGATTCATCTCTTGTACAAGGGGATGACAACGAACCCGACAATCATTGTGGCAGAATGTTTCATCCATTTTCAAGACTTCCTATTGAGCTACGTCTAGGAATATGGCGGATGAGTTGGGATAGTCGCAGTATTGGAATTGTCACGAAATACCCTTTCGCTTCAAACATGCTAGGGACCGTCACTGGTGTCAAAAAAGGCACGTCACCACCCTCGACAATATCAGTCAATCGAGAAAGTCGAGCAGAAACGCTACTACACTATAAGCCATTAAATTTCGCGCCATTAGCCCTTGGATTTTTAGTTTCAAAGTTCTACTTCAATAATGAGCTCGATACGCTAGCTGTTTATGTTACTTGTGTCTTCAAACTTCTAGATTCTAAGCTTTATCAAGCCCATGCAGGACTTATAAACCACTGTCTGAGCACGGCGAAATTGCGAGATATCAAGTCTTTACTTGTATTTCCATGTGGTGAGGCCTACGGATACTACCAAGTGTTTTCATTTGGAGACCATGAAATCAACACCAATCCTTCGTCTGCTTACTCTTACCTACATGAATTGATTCTTCTAGCCGATTCACATATTAAGGGAATCACTTACAAAGCACCGAACAATCTGGAAAAATCAATTCCTTTTGGTTATACACGACAGATACCGGGCCATCCAACCCCCCCTGGACAACAATCTATTAAACCAGGTCTGTCCGTTCACTCCAGCCATTGGAAAGACGTCAAGAGCTATGGAATCTTCCGGTCACCGCCATGTCAAGAGGGGCTCATCAAGAAGTTTAGAATGAAGTATCGGTAGTCAATACGACTGAATTTATTAGTGTAGAAAGAAAATTACTCTATTGCGTTGATTTCAACTCAAGAACATCGATTTCACATCATTGTTCGCTTTTCAATCGCTCTTCTGAATATTTCAGATTTGGTCTTGACACTTTAAGATGCCCGCTCATTCATGATTACTACTCCGAGTGATCTTATTAGTATTCCCACACATGGATAGTTCTTACGGAATTGAAAGATTGTAAACTTTACACCCGCTTTTGTTGAACTTTACTTACATAATAAAAAATAATCTTCCAACTCATGCTTGACTCTTTTCACAACCTGGGTCAACTTTCAGTAGTTGGATTTCCAATTCTCATAAAACCTGTGTTGGTCTGATGCGAAGTCTTCGATCTCTGATCGTGCCTAGAGCTTGTATCTGGCGTCAAATTGTTCACAAGATGCTTTTGATATTTTGCACCCAACATTTCTTACAGCCAATTATAGAAAAGTCATATCCTTGCTGTAAAAACATTAGATGGTTAGGAGGATATCTCACCCCGATCTTCTTTATGGAATATAAGCTTGCACGTAGCTTGCACGAGGCTTGTTAACATCAAAAATATCCGACTGCAGCGTAGCGGGCCCGGATGTGGGGGAGAACAAGTTTCTTGAATTTATCCTGGAGAAAAATCTCCAAAATCTCCTTCCTCCCAGTCGATAAAACATTTTCCCTCATGTGTATTGGATAATATCTTCGACACTGTTCATGAGCTCACGCGAAAGAGTATCTAGATGTATGGGACAAATCAACACAAAAAAACAAAAGGAAATGCAACTGCCGTGAATCGAACACGAACCTCCACCTTGGAAGGGTGGAATCCTAACCATTGGACCACAGAAGCTATGAGCTTATTGATGGGAAGGTAAGTGAAAATTAAGTACATATTATCGTAGGAAAAAAAATTGCAGATAGTGTGTGGGTGATGGTGGAAAGTGGGTGGAGTGGAGTGGAGATTAATTTGGGAAGCGAATGATGATGGGTACGGTGACCGGGCTTGGTATGTTGTGATAAAGTTTGGAAGAGCTCTTCAATTGTTACAAATGTGAATTGAGAGATAAATTGATATATTCATTTCATGATTGGATTAGTATTGAATTATCATTATTAAGTTCCAACATATTCAATTTGTCGTACCATGGATATGTGTCGAAGTAATAGATGAGGTTATCGCATGTTAGAATATTCCTACTGTCATGCGGAATAGAGATACTCAGTCGTCGCTTGCTACTTGGTAAGCGAAAGGGGCATCTATTTGTGGTGTTAATGACCCCCCACCGATGTCGTCGATATCGATGCTACATGAACCGTATTCTAGATCGCATATGTTTTGGATCTGTGATTCAGCCTAGCTGGTACAAGAGAACCTCTTACATAACCCAAATAAAAAAATACTAACAAGTCCTCCTTTGATCAATCCGAAGAGTGAAATTAATTGAGTTGTGAGCTTGCAAAAAACTGCGAGATAATTTGATGGCGGATTTGTGGCGAGGCTCCCTGGGAAAGTAAAAAATTGTGTCTCCTGACGAATCTCAATAAATGTGATATCCGATAAACTATAGGCTCCATGCCGCTGTAGATGAGATTCAAAACTAGCGCTCTATTGATTTACCGCGGGCATCTTTCTCACCTTGTAAACTTAGATTTTTGGACTGACGCAGGTAACGCGTTGTTTTTGAGTCATTGATGCGTGAATCTTCTTTATGGCGCAATTTTATCACAATGAGTCAGAGTTCAATTCAAAATTCTGATTCGTGCTACTGTTCTCCGTGTCCCCCATATTCACATTAACACCACATCTTTGTATGCATATCCGCTTCCTCTCACAAATTTCTCGACATTATCTAGACGTTCGATTAAAATCTCAAGGCAATCAAAATTTCGCCATAACAAAACTTAAGAACCATCTGTATCGAAAAAATGATTTCCTCACATCTCACGAAGATCATCATTCTCTTCACCCTGCTTGCTTTCACACCCATGACTGTTATTGGATCTTCCGACCCTGAAAAAATTCCCACGGGAGTTTCTGTCTACTCTACTGGTATCACGACAATCCTCGTCTTCGAGAGACCTAGCAGCTTCTTCAAAGATAAAAGTGCACAACTTGCTACGTACACAACATCCACCCAAATTGCAGGTTCAACATATACTGGAATCTTCGGTAAGAGATAAATATCTTAATCTCATCACAAAGACCTTACTAACAAGCTGAACAGCCGGATGTTGTTTCTTGCTCTCAACTGAAGCAGGCACCTGCCAAGACAATCCCTCATGTCGTCCGGCATATGTTACAAAGACAGTGTCTCATTACATGAAATCTGGTGGACCAGAAACACCCTCAAAGACAGGTTTTCCATCGTTTGTTATGAATCCGACCAAAAATCCGGCTCCTGGCTCGAGTTCGGGTAACGGAATGGTACATGCGAATTTGCTGCTGACGGTTTTGCTCTCTGTTTTAGGAGTTTTGAATGGAATGGGAGTTTTATTTTGTGATTAGAAAACAGTATTAGAAATGGAGGGTCAAGATTAGACCGCAGCTCGCTAGGATGTTGTGTCGGTTGGAGAGTGCAGAAGTGTATAACTAGAGCCTGAAATTTCCATTCTATGCGAATACTTCTATCCTATGATCATTGAACTGAACCTGTCACTAGATACTCAGCATGAGTATCTATTAATAGATGATATGGAGATACTCGAAAGATGAGTCCCATTGAATAAAGATACCCAGTCATTAGTCATTGGCAGTGAATGATGAAGAATTGGATGACTAGAAGTGTCGAGTCACAATCAAAGGGCGCACTAAGTCTCTATTTGAGAACATATTTGACAACACAGTGTTCTCTTTTTTCTACAAGAGGGTTTGAGAACCCATCAAGAATATCGATTCCAGCCAAAGAAAAAGCGCACACAAACCCCTAAATATCAGATTTCTTAGACTTGGCGATTGAGCTTACCACACGTTATTGTTTGCGAATTTCCAACATCCAACATGATCTCCTCACACTACAACAGAATCATTATTATCTTCACCCTACTCACCTTCACCTTCACAAATATTGCCCAAGGAACATTTTCTATCAGTCTGCCTCAAACAATGACAAGCGGAGGTCCAACCAATCCAACTGCGACCTGCAGTTCTCACCTCCACTCCAACTTAGCACCTGGCTCAAGCACCACTACTTGGACATCTGCATCTTCAACATATACCCAGATCCTGCGTAAGTGTTATTTCATTCTATTACTATATGAGAAGCCACTAATAACCCCCTCTTTCTAGCTGGTTGCTGCTTTCGGAGCAATGGAATTCCGGGATCATGTGAGACTCAATCCACATGCAAGCCACAAACAGGAACTCCAGCAACTTCAACCACAGTACCGACTTCAAATCCTACCGTATCCGCAACTCCGAGTCCTAGTCCAAGCCCAACTCAAAGTTCAGGACGGCGGAGCATGGAGCTGGACACCTCTCTACTGCGCTCGTTCGCTGTATTGGGACTGATCTCGATGGCCTTGAGTTATTTGGTATTTTGATATTAAAATTGGATGAACTTTGTAAATTGCGAATGGAAGGCTATATGCGGGAAACACTAGAAATTATCTACTCATAGATAGAGAGGGGATCATCCATGGATGAGCTTGATATTATACAGTAATTGAAACTGCCTGAATTTTACATAAAACCTAGAATGAAATCTCACAGATTCGAGGGTTAAAAGACTTTTGTGGGATCGAAGCGTAAATCGGTACTTTTTATTTTTGCAATGTGAATGTGGCTCGGCGAGATTCATAGATGTATATTATGCCTACTCCACGGCTTCTCTCATGTTGATAGAACTCTTCATCGATCTTTTGGAGGATTCATTTACGCAGAGGAAAACGTGGAAATTCAAATACCAAAATCTAAGAGTGAATGCAGAATGCCCAAAATCAAGTCAAATGTTTGGATAAGAAAAAGCTCGGCCGTAAAAAGACCTAGATGACATCAGACACAATGAATGGGAAGGTATACTGTGTCTTATAGTCCGCACTAGCAGACTCATCACAGCCATACAGCATTCAAATACTTTACGGTAACTAAGAATACTCAGCACTTATTGAGATCTATTGGATGGGCCAATTTGTTTCAGGGGGTAATAAAAGTTTCAGGTCCATCCACAGACCGGAGTTCAGAGTGTAGACACTCTGGAAATACTTAAATCTTAAAAAGCCTCGGGAAAGTATTCACTCTAATCATATCACGCATGCGTCTTGAGCTAGTGAGCTTCTCAGTGACTTATTAGGTGTATAAAATACCGAACACAAAGCTTTCTACCTTTTACCTGACAACTTTCATTTCTTCCTTCCAAATACCACAACTTGATCCATCGACAAAACATCATCGACAGAACAATCAATTGGACGTAAAGATATCGATAAAAAGCTACCATCCATCATATATAACGACTTCAGATCATAATCATGGTTTGCGCAAATTTCAACAATGCGATTGTCCTGTTCGTTATCTTTACACTCGCCTTTCTCTCTGTCGCTCAGAGCTTGCCTCCCATTCCTCCACCAGAGTCTGTAGCAACCACTTTACATTTCTCAAGCGGATCCACGGGTACTCAGACTACCAAGTCATCGAGAACATTAATCACCAGTCTGGTAATTATTCCAGGTGGATTCGAGCCCACTGTCACCCTTACAATTGTGGCTCCTGCACCAACCTCCACCGTCTCTTACACTTCGACTTCAACTTCTACCTCTGTTTTGACTTTCACCTCGACTCCTATCTCAACCTCAAAGTCTAGCACCGTCACCACCGCTTCGTCTTCCACTTCCGTTTCGAACTCGGTTCCTATTACTGGCTCTAGCTCCACTTCCACTTCCAACACTGGTACAAAGACCAAGAGTAAGCTCTTCACAGCCGTTGTGTGTATTAGTTTAATAATTGCTAATTGTATTGATTTAGGCAACCCTAGCAACACCGCAAGTCCAACTCAGAGCTTTGGACTAAAAGGCATGGACACAGATTGCTTCCTAATAAAGGTTACAATTGTTTTGGGATTGCTTGTCATTCTGGAATTCTTCATTTAATATAATAAATGGAAATCAGTGTGTTCATTTGAGATGAGAAAATATTATGAGCTGTCATGTTGGGAGATTAGAAGTTTATGGAGGAGCTGATTTTGTAGGATGAATATATGAATTCCTTAAAAACATACTTCTATTGGATTTGTCATAATTTTGAGGATGACTACTATGATAGTATGTGATTCATTGGTCTCTGTATGACTGGGTGTATGATTTGGTCGCTAACTCCCTCTCACATCGTATCATTTCGTGAAAGTGACTTCTAAAAATCGAATCCATGAATCATACCCATAATAGATGACTCGATTTTTCCAGGAACGTACACATCAAAAGCATTCCAAATGTCTCTAAAAGTTTCTTAGAACACTGCAATCCAACATTTCATGCATTGAAACACTGCGACGTAAAATGAACCTGTCTTAACAAGCACCACTTGCAAGGTACATTGTCTCACACTAAGGTATTTGATCCGCTTCAAGCAAAAGTGACTTGTCGATACCTTCACAAGAGAACCTCTCGTCATCATGATCTTCTCACGCATCCACATCTTGATCATCTCTCAACTATTTCTTATTTTGACACTCATCACTTCAGCATCAGCAAAAGGTGGAAAACCAAAACCAAAGCCGAAGCCGAAGCCAAAGGGAGGGAAAGATAATCCAATAAAATCCTGCGTCTATCAAATACCTGACGACTTTGCCAACGATCCCGTTGCAACTGCATCGAAATATACCGTCACAGTCACTTCTGGTACTACTGTTTCTACTCCTGTCTATGGTAAGCAAAGATTTCAACCACTTCAAAGCATAAATAACTAATGAAGATCTTTAGATGGCTGTTGTTTCTTGGAAAATCCCCCAAAAGAATGCCCCCCAGAGAAATGTGAAGGAGCATGCACTGTGACGCCGGAAGATGGCAAGAAGAGTTCTGCACAAAGAGGCGTGGAAAACAGCGAGAGGGTATGGGAGTCCGGATTTCTTGCAGCTGTGATGTTTTCTCTATTGTGAGATAAATTTAGAAAAAATGGGGACATGTGAGGGAGAATAGCATGGTTTATTACTGGTGGTACAGGATTATACGCATATTTATCTGTCGAATCATCAATGGGTACGGGTCATGGAAATTTAATAGCCTGAATTTGTTTTCTTCGCGCATTCATACATAAAAGTGGTACATTGAGCACATTAATAGAGTTTTCAGCATTTCGCTTTGATATATTCGAATTTCAAAATGAAGATTGAATTGCAGACGAGGAGTCAAAATTTGTCCCTCGATAAAACTACTCACGCAATGACTGTGATTCTGAACGATATGCACTGACCACACATAAAGATATCACATTCGATTCATATAATTCAAGAAGGGAAGAAAATAATCACTCGAAGTGCGACATCACCCTCAATGACAAACAGTAAGCATCCACACCATCCCTTCAAGCATCGCCATCATTAAATTTATGGCCTTCCCACACTCTATCAATGCTAAAGTCACCCTTAACCTTTCCATTCCATAAAGGAGTCCTCATCGAAGCAAGAAAACCAATCAAGATTTAGCGAACGAGTAGCGAGCCGTCAGCTATTACCTGGACGTTATATCATTAATGCATGACTTAGTGCTTCTATCAAGAAAATTAAGTTTTGATTTAGTATAGGAATCACTTTAATAAAACCCCCAGCTTTTATATATTAGATAAAGAACGACGTTGACTTGTAGACGTTCTAGTGTTTTTAGTAATCAATTGTTGAGGTTTACTACATGGCTTGGATGTAAAGTATGTTCTTGCGATAGTTAGTTTTGCAGTTGAACTTGCTGAATAAAAGGGAGAAAATATGAACTTTGAAGTATTATTCAGTTATTACTACAGAGAATGGATAGAAAAATAGTGGTATTATGAGAAATTTTTTACAAGCGTTCAGTGCAAGTTGGTACCCAAGGCCCTGTAAATTGCCGAGATCCCTTTGACAGGCGCAAACAAGCTGCATTAAATGTAGTACACACCCAATGTAGTAGTGACGCTAGAAAACGCTGAATGGGAACATCAAAAGGGATTAAATGGTTTTAAGAGTTCAATCTTCACTGAGCAATCAAAGAAACAACGGTATTTAATGCGAAGGCAAATGCTACAGCTCAACTCTAAGGGCCAACTAGACATGGTAATCCAATCTTCCCCTCTTCAAAAGCGCGACCATGCGGCTCCCACATCCATGTAATCAAAACTTATTAATGGCGAGAATCTACTTCCATCAAAGAGTTTCTGCTTCCGCTTCCATCCCGATTCATCGGTTCCGACCCATTCATTAAGTATGTCGGCTTCTTCATTGCTGCGATACCCCACTCTGATATGTAAGATATCTAATGTCATAGGACCTCTATCGTTATGTATTAACTTCAAGCTAGCAATTTGCATAGAAAATCGTCACACGTCAAAGAAAAAGCGGGGACTCACAGGAGAAATGCATGAAACTTACAATTTTAAAGCAGTGAATCTGATGTGCAGACGTAATGTATTCTGATAATGTGATATATATATAGAGTGTACACTTTTCTCTACTCCCTCCAAGGGTTTATCACATTCGCTTCAATAAGTGGCGGCACCTTGCGACCAGTCTAAACTCAGTTTTTCGAATCACTAAATCTCATCTGCAGCATATTTTGGCGTCGATGACATTCATCCCAGATTGTGTCAAACATCATTCAAAAAGCGCTTGTCCACCAGCCAGTTTTAGAGTAAAGCCCTAGACAGCACAATATAAAACAAGTGAGTGATGACCTTTGTGCCCTGGAAGCGGTTACGCTCTGTGAAGCTCGCCTATGCTAACGGAAACAACAGACCTCATAACATGCACCCCGAAGACAAGTTGACCGCAAGAATATGGAAGAATCTTTCAGGCAAGGCTCTAGTCGATGAGCTTGAAAAGCGTCGCCCCAAACGTTTTAGAGCTTTGGAACGCCGCTGGAAAAGGGGCATTCCACGAAGACGATGGATCAACTTGAAAAAGTTCCCCATGCGCGAAAGACATAACACTTCTTCGAGCTTTGTCTTGTTCTCAGAACTCCCTATCGAGCTAAGAATCAAGATCTGGGAGTATAGCTTTCGCGGTCGCAATGTTGAAGTCTGTGTGGATTTTGATATCTCCGTGGGATATGATTTAGAGCTTCGGATCGAATTCCCTAATTATCCACCTCGAATTTTCCAATGTCGCACAATCACACCGAATCCAACAACTCTTTTCGTCAACCACGAAAGTCGAATGGAGACACTTAAATGCTACTCCAACTTCCTGCCAGGTGTCTCCGACTCCCCAATCTATTTCAACTACCAGCTAGATTCCTTTGCTGTTCGTCACTATTGTTCAGGGCATAATATTCGTGAATGCGACACCAGGGAGCAACTCTCGTGGGGGATTAGGCATCTGATTGATCTTTCAACGTCGGTACCATTGAGACCAATCAGACCGTTGAAACTTCCGACTTACTTCATATATGACTATGGTATCATTGATCCCCCCCCCGTCCAAAACCACAAGTGGGCACCTATAGTGCAGTCATTGAACCACTTCTGACTGAGTTCGATTGTTTGCAAGAGAGTATCATCATAAGTCGGGTACCCTACTTTCGGGCTAACAGGGTTTTGGGCCACCCTTTTATATCAAAAATCACTTTTTAGGCTTATTAATATTTCTATCAATATTTGATTCAATTCAATAAAAATTTGTATATATATAATTCAGATCGTTTTGAATTTATTTTGAAATTTTCAGATTTTTAGGATTTTTCTGTATTAAAAATTAGAACTTCAAAATATCGATTTTCAAATTTATATAGGAATTATATACAAATTTAAATTTTTTATTAAATCTTTAATAACTTTTTAACAATATTAATTAAAAGAAAACTATATATATTTTTGAAATATTTAAATTTGAATCTATATAAAAATTCAAAAAAAAAATTCAAAAAAATTAGCAGATATAGAAATATAATATATAGTGAGTTTAAAGTAATATAAATAATCCCTATCATTTTGAAAATATTCCTATAAATATTTATTTATAAGAGATTTTTTATTTTTTCTAAATCTGTTAAATAAAATATATTATAAATTTATAATAAAATTTTATAATTTATTTTTAATAATTTTTATCAAAAAGTTATCAAAGATTTTATAAATTTTTTAAATTTGTATATGATTTCTATACAAATCAAAAAATCGATATTTTAAAATTCTAGATTTCGATACAGAAAAATCCTAAAAATCTGAAAATTTCAGAATAAATTCAAAACGATCTGAATTATATATATATAAATTTTCAATAAATTCTATTTATAAATAAAAAAGTTAGAAATTCTATTTTTGGTATAAAAAGTAATTGAAAAGTGGCCCAAAAAGGGGGTGGCCCGAAAGTAGGGTACCCGACTTAAGTGGCAGGCCGCAAAAAGATTCCGATAGCTCTGGATTTGACAACTCAACTGAAGTGCAAAATCTAGAGAATTGCCTCACTCATATGTCTGAAGCTGAAATGGAAAGAAATTCCTCATTCCAGATTCCAGATTCCAGAAGTTACTATCTATAAAGAACCTTTACTTCTTCCTATTTTTTGCGATGAGATGAAGCAAGCAAATGGATCCCGGGTTCATGAGAATTACGATTTGAAGGAGACTGCAGATTGGTTTGATTCCGAATTTTGACTGGAGATATGGAATAATCTGGCTGTAACTGTAAATAGTTTTCAGAGGAAATGATACCTCATCAAAACAACTACTTGAATGAAATATTTTATCTCGAGGACTTTTTTGAAACCCGTGATTTGCATCAAAATGAATAGTATCCTACCTCATGCCTAGTTTCAATACAAGTCTGATAACACATTTGAAAACTAGAAAGCGTTTCCCAAAGTGCTACTGCTTGTTTCTTCTTCCTGGCAAAATAGGCTGCTCATTCTAAATATTGTTTCACCATTTCATTCTGCATTCATGGGCTTGATGCGGTTAGTAATATCAGTAACACACAAACACTTGACATCCTACGAAAAGGTTTGGAATGACGCAACTAGTGCAGGTCAGTTGTGTGGTAAAGGTATTACAGAGTCATGATTTTTCTAATTACATTGAAATGATGAAAGCAACGAAGATATCTGTGGTTCACGCAAAATGTGGCATGAGTGACAAGAGCAGCTTGAGCGAGAGAAAATAACATTGCCTGAAGAAGCTTTAAGAGAATGAGACTGGAGACAGCTATGGTTCAACAAAATCGCGTTTCTGCGCTGTTTCCATGGGCTAAAACTATGCTTGACGGTAGACGACCAAATACGGAGGAACCACAAGTAGAGACCCAGTGTAGGAGAGCCGCCATCCGCTCTGGCAAGAAAATTAAAGGAACGCTTTCTCATCGGAGACCTCACGCGACTGGTTACGCTGAAGTATCAACCACTCTACCAAAAACTCTGCACTAATGACTTTATCCTTTAGTCCTTCCATGAGCTTTTCATCGAGCGCCTCCGTCATAATTTGTCGAATCTTGGTTGAACTAACACCATTTGACGCGCTGTGCTGTGAGGCACGGAATTTTATGATCGGCTTTCCAGGGACGGTCAAGGCCTGACATGTCCACAAAACACCGGCCCCATCGTTGATATAGCCTTCTTTCTCGTCGCACTTCTCCGTACCCCTCTTCCACTTTGTACAGCCCGGTAAGTCTCTTGGAATCGTTTCTTTCTTTGGATCAAAGAAGTCGACTGGTCTCCTTGCACTAATGATGAGGAATTCATCAACCGGACCCCATTCCTGTAAACATCCCGGATGTGCATGTGGCGCGCTCTCTACCGTCAACTTATCCCCACCCAAAAGTCCGACCAACTTAACCGCATATCCAGCTTCCGAAACCAAATCAGTTGTCGCCCGTAGAACTTTGATATGATTATCCATATCTCCAACTAGGAGCTGAAGCCATCCAGATGCAACGAGTTGAGAAATTTCGGGGACTTTGTAAAAAAGTTCGTAGCGGAAGTTTTGTGGAAGTATAACGTCACCCCATTTCTTCTTTTTGCTATTGACAATCGAGCCAGGATCCACGAAGAGGAACATAGTGGTGATACCGAGTTGCTCGCGACGCTCTGAAAAATAGCGGATCGTGGCTAGATGACCTTGGTGGGGTGGGTTGAAGGAGCCTGGATAGAGAAGGATGTTGTTTTTGGCATTTGGTTTGAGAATTGGCCATGAGACCGAGCTATTGTGTGGAATAATGTTGTGATCATTTTCTGAGGATGGTGGAAAGAGGCTGGCTGGAATCTCTCCTGTATTGATAGAGCTTTCTAGAACTTTTTGTAGAAAGGGCTGAATGGTTTTTGATGGAACCCGATCAAGATCAACATTATTCAGAACAGCAGAAACTTTTGGATTTGTCTCTTCAGCTTCAACCTTGTGATCGGAGAAAGTTTTGTCTGGAGGAGTCGCCATAATAGAAGTTTACCTCAAAGTTTTGGTAGATGTGTGGAAACTATTATGTTGGGATTGTTGATGGCTAAATATTTCGAAAGCGATCAAATTGGGTTGAGGCTTTTCGATGAAACTTCTTCGTAGTTTGTCTTGAAAGACCTTCGAATCAAGGTCTGCTCTTTGTCACTTTTTAATATTTAAAACTTCGCATTGATTTTTCTAATTCTCTTCTCCTTCATTTTGAAACAATTGTAATTGTGGTGAATTAGAATTGAGACGTCTACTGGTAAAAGTAACATACCAGAGCTCTCCATTCACTCAATTTTGCTGGTTGGCCTTTAGCGTCTCTTCTTGCAATATTTATATAGTACATTGACTCTTATCTAGGCAAAAAATTGAATGGCACATGCTCGCACGCACCATCGATGGAAATCATCCAAAACTACAGTCTAGGACTCTACAGCAGGAAATTGAGACATTGTGAGACATTAAGGTCTTTGAAGAAGTTCCTTTTAATTCCCAATGTGAATTTTTGAAAGAGGGGCGGCAGATGTTGCATAATCAATATTTAGATCTATCAAACTTGCAAAGTGAGCTGCCAGTGACAAAGAATGTATGAGATTGATGCACAGGCAGGGTATCATAGACATTCAAATCCATGTAGAAAATTCCACTGGGTGATAAGAGCCTTAGGAAGCATCAGGATACAGCAGATGAAGTGAATCCACGTTTTGTTTTCGAATGAGCAACCCCATCATGTTCAGTGAATACTCGAACTTGCTCGCTTCTTAAGTTCTTTAAATCGGCTACCTTTGTTGGAAGGTTGACCAGGTTGATATCAGGAAACTCAAAATGTTCTAGAGGGTTGCATATCAAATATTCCCTAACGCAAGGATAAGCATCAAACTCTTCAGCAAATAAACCCTCACATCTCCAACATGTCGAAAGACGACGTGGAATTTCGGCCTGCCAAGTCCCTGGGATGTCGAAAAGCTTTTGTGGCTCTCTCAAGGACTTCCTCGCTCACTATAGCCAGTATCAAGCAGAAATGTAAGTCATTCTTCTGAAGCTACATAATCAGTTCCTAACTGTTGCTTTTTCCAAAGTCAAACCAGGTGTAACGACCTCAGATCCACCAAGCAGGGCAAAAGACAAGAAGCAGCGAAAACCCGCCCTTACAAGAGTCCAAGCAAAACATAAACCATCCAAGAAGAAAGCTGACAAGAAGACGTCTGGGAAGAGGAAGAATAAGAATGGAAAGAAGTCAACAAAGGATAAGCGGACCTTCAATGTACCTAACCGCAGGTCAAAAGCACGCATGGAAAAGAGAACAAGATATAGCAAAGTAAAGAAGGTGGTAAACATGCCAAAGATCTCTTACATTAAATTGAAAAACTTCTGTAAGTAAAACCCTTCTGCTCCCTATCTCACAGACATTTTTAACAGTAACGTTTTATAGTTAAACCAGTTTACATTTATGTTTTCTACACAAACTTGTACCAGCGATTCGGGAACCCAAAATATCCCCTCTGTGATACAGAGACCTTTCCTCCGAACAAAAAACGACAAGAACAAAAGTTTGGACCGCTTGAATTCAACTTTTATCACAAATTTCCAAAGGAGATTCGATCTAAGATCTGGAGAGCAACATTTGAAAGTCGTATTGTCATTGTGGAAGTGCATAGTAAAGTGGGCACTGATATTAGTAAGATGAAAATTGTTGGAGCACACATGACCATCCCACTTGCTTTGAGAGTTTGCCGAGAAAGTCGAGCTGAAGCACTTTTGTGGTACAGAGATCTAGTCCCCGAACATGTTAGGCCCATACACTTTCATCCTACTCTTGATTCCTTCGCAATCAGAATCATGAAGGTTGCTCGTAATGCAGACCCGAAGAGAAGATGGACCGAAGTCACTTATTTCGTCAAAGATATTCTGTTATTTCTGGGTCATATGGGCTCGGTCTATAAACAAATTCCGAAATTCGTGCGATGCATCACTATACCGAGAGCATGCTGGAGTCACGATCGATATTGGGATACGACATTGCAGTTGGCATGGAATGAAGGTTGGGGCTATGAAGGATTGAAGGAGATTGTCGTGTTAGAGTATCTCGACAACACAGCCTACCACTTGCAGCATGAGAGATTTCTTCAGGGGTACTTTAAGATCATAAAGCGAACGTATCCCGATTGCGTTGTGCCAAGAATTCGAATCATTCTAGATCGTTTGGGCCACTTACCTTACAGTAGTGACAGCTTCTCTGCGATTATGGGGGGTGGAAAATATGAAGATATCGACAAAAATCATGGCAGCTTTCGTAGGTGCAATTCATGTTGGGTTAAATGGTTCGAGTCGGATTTCTGAATAAGAATAGGCGTAGGCATGAGAAAGGGAAGTAGATTTGTACATGAACAAGTCCATAGGTAAAACGGCGATTATTACAAAGGCATATTGATATGATATTATGACAACAAGGTGATACATGCAGCTATTTGTCATGTGAACTCATTTACCATCTGAAAATTCATTCGCTACAAGTGTGATTCTCCCGTTTTGCCCACATTTTCGGGAAAGAGCTCTTTTCATTTCGCATACCTCGAACAATTGATAAAATTGATGATTCTTGTTATAAGGAGACCCCAAATATAATTGCATGCTTCACCAGATGTCATCAGTGAACTAGGAACCACACTACCCAGAAAATAGGAAAGAGAGAAAAGACACTTGTCAGCCAAGGCCATAGTCGACGATCGCTGCTGGTCATTAATTGGCTCGAGTAATTGGCAGAAACTAGACCCAATTCTCTTCGACCAGATTTCTTGTACTTTCAAAATTTCCCCAAGTAATCAGATTAACTAAAAAAGCCGTTGAAGCTACTTTGTCATACCTCACCCACTAAGTAGACTAATAGCTCTTTAGCGTCGTAGAACAAAAGCAGTTAATCAAGCGCACCATGTGACTTTAAGTTAAAACTAATTTCCATAATTGCTTTTTCATCTGTTGTCTGTTCGTAACGAATATGTCTTCTCTCACTCATTGACCAAGTATCGTACATTCATCTACTTTTATATCAAATTGTCTTTTGAAGAACCTCTCTCTCCGCAGAAATCACTTCCACACAGTTCAGAACCAGTTAATCAGTTCATTGGACTTCTGCAGCTATAATCGATTGACTCAAAATCATCTTCATAATTCTATTTGCATTGAAGATATGGTGCAATATTCGCATGTCCGCGGTGGCTTGAAGCCAAAAACAAGAATTGTCGTCTCTAAAGCTCTTGCCAGACTATCCCCTCGCAGGATTCGTGAGCGACGTAAGTATCCAGTCAGATCCAGTCGCTTTCCCATAACACTGGGAGCAAACGTTTGTATCAAAATACTAGATATACGCATATGAATAGTCTCTGATAGACATCGTAGGTAATTACAAGCGCTTTGTAGCAGAGCCAGTCGACTCGGAGTCCATCTGCTTCACAAACCTTCCCTACGAAATCCGTCTAATGATTTGGCGCGAATGCTTCGAATCTCGTGTAGTCACCATATGCGCTCATCGTATATGTAGCTGGACGGACGGCTTGCGCGAATATAAACCGGCCGTATCATCAGTCCGCGCGATTATGCCATTGACTCTTAGAATCAACAGAGAAAGCAGATTTGAAACGCTTCGGCACTACCCAGACTTGATTCAGAACCCTGGATTATTTCGTGACCCAGTATATTTCAACCCACAGCTAGATAAGCTCGCCATTCACGTACTCGACAAAGACAGATACTCTGCTTGTCTCCCCCAGCTCTTTCATCGTGATAGAAAATCGCGTACAATGGCTGATCAATGTTTATGCCTTACCATCCTAGCTTTGGCCGAAATCTCGATATACTCACCAAGTATGTGCAAAATGGTGCGTTTCCTCATATCTCGCCATGGCGCTCTCTGCGATAGACACAAATGTTATGAGAATCTATTCCCTCGTTATCGCAAAATAATGGGCAAATTTTATCAGTTAAAAACCATCGTGGTCCAGTCGCCTAATTTCAACGAGACAATGGTCATTAACAACATTTCGAAAGATTGTAGTTGGACCATGAGAAAACGCGTCTGGAAGGCCATCAAATCAAGGGAGAATTTCGAAGATGATAATTGGCGGATCACAAAAACAGATGACCACAATCTATCATTATTGTATTAAGAAACCCACCGTGGAAGATCTACAGAACTTGCCTATTTAAATGACTGTTTGTGCGAATTATCACAGGTAACTCAGCTTAACCGTTTTCGAGTTTCAATTTCGACTCCTACCTTCACAACTGCAATACTGCTACTCTATTGTTCAGCCACACGCTCGAGTTATATCGCGTGGTTCTCATGGTTCGATTTATGCTACAAAGTCTATGGCACCTTAGGAATACTCAAGATATTCATTCGCTACGAAGAATTAGATTAGTCAGTCATATTCGTTACCTCTCAAGGTTCTTCTCGGTCGATATTTCTTCCACATACTATCGCGTATCATCTAAAAATACTCATCTTCTTACGAATCATCAAATACAGTATACATGCACTGCATTCAAGAATTGTACGGTCTCACGAAATACCGAATCGTGAATACGGCATTGTTTCATTTAGACTCTGGACTTCTCAGCAGTCTGTATATGAACTATGAGCCTATTCATCCATTGCTATTACCATTCTATTCAGGAGACAGCGAATCTTATACATCATAATTTGCAACCTCGACTCGACAAAACACAAACCTGTATACTAATTTCTCCACCTGAGACCGACAACCAATCACCAAATCTTTCATTCAGAATGGTCCAATACTCCGGCATTCATGGTGCACATAGTCCCAAGAAACAAAGTTGCTCCTTAAAAATCCTCTTCTTGATGTTAGGATCGATGATAGGGTCCTTTTTCTGCACAATGAAGCATTCTTGTAAGTAGAATTCAACCTTGGTCGTTCAGTTACTATACCTAAACTCCATGAATTGCTGCAGAAATTGAAAAATCAGTCAATATAGCGGAAGGATAATCGATGCCCACAATACAGAGATTGAATGGAAATTGTTGTACTGGCCTAATCATAAGAGCAAGAAAGTGCTAGTTCTGCATTCTACAGAATTCACAAAATCAGACTTTGTCACAATTTCAGGTTTCAACTTTTCCATTTGCCAAGCTAATGTTAGTTTACAGTGCTACTCACGAGGCCCAAAACATCAACGCAGGTGGCTACACCTACGAACGAGTTGTCATTCGCATATTTCCCTCGACTTCCCTTAGAGCTCCGCAACAAGATATGGCAATTGGCTTTCGAAGGACGAACCGTCACTCTACATGTTCATACTTTCAATCAATCTTGCTATTATGGATCTTTCATCCCAAGAGGAATCAAGATCACTCTCGATTTTGTACAAGCAAACATGCCAAAGACTCTATGGGTAAATCGAGAAAGTCGGAAGGTAACTCTTTCTCAATATAAAGATTTAATCCAAAATCCGGCGCTATTTCGCGATCCGGTATACTTCAATTCGGAACTCGACACCATGGCCCTGGAAGTATACTATCCAACACGACCAGGGAAAGGTTGCAGTTGGGTCCGTCAGAAAGGTGCTCGCAATCACCAAAAGACCTCCCTTGATCTGAATGACTTAGCAGAACGCGCACCGAATATTCTAAAAATGGTTAAATCTCTCTATCTTCCTATGATCATGCTCGAGGAGGAGCCTGCTGCCACTTACAGAGGTATCTTACCCACATGCTGGAACGGCATGATACAATTCCATTCATTAGAATTGGTTACAATCACTGGAATAGAAAGCGACTTCCAACACGGTATTTTAGTAGCTTTTGCGAAAAGCGCGGCAAGATACTTCCAGTCTTCTTTCGAGAAAGAAAAGTGCCGATTCCCTGACTGCCAGATACCAAGATTAAATATGTTCCCACAAGACGAGGATAACGAGAAAGCGATGGGTTCAAACGACTACTTTCAATTTGCAGGAGATGCTCGCTTTGAGGATGATGTCGCTGGAGGATCGTGGACTCTATTGTTTAAGGAAGCAGAAAATTCGTTTGTGGTCAATGGCGGCAAGGAACGATACGATGGTGGACTTGTTCAAGAAAGTATTCAAGATATTGATATTGATGCGATCAAGAATGACGAAAAGAGATGGAATCACACCAGCGAAATTCTTGGGGCAACAAATGATGGAGTCACCGTGGCGAGCAAGTTTAATAATTCGAGATGGTCGATCGAGGGAGGTTGAGGAGTCGGATCTCATTCCCGGGAATCTAATTTTGCAGCATAATGCTGATGTTCATATGTTCCATTTAATGAAAGGCTTTCTTGAATAGAGCATAATGCTTTATATCGAGAAAGCCATGTATTTACGCACTGGAGAACTTATAATCATTTTAAAATAATAGTTTCTAGTATTAATACAACGTTTTTGATAATTATCACCGAGGTACTTCGATACCCCACACATTGAAATCCATTTGAAGCCTCCACGAACTATCACCATAGAATTCACTCAACTTAATTGTGTATGTTCGATTGTGTATGTTCACATTGATACGAATCTTGAATAGCTATTGAGAATTTTCATAAAAGGCCCCCGATGATATCACTCTTCGTATTTTGGGGATCTCTTATGTAAACATCATCATTGAAGCAACTCGCAATAATTTCGGTTAAGAACTTAACAAATCTAATTTTACAATCATTGAGAATCACATGAATTAGGAAAGAAATCAGACCCCCAAGACTCTTAATAATAGATTGAAAACAATGAATAACGTGCATGAGATACCATCAATTGATGGTTTAAGTAACATTATCAATGTGTATCAACCAACTAAACCAGAGGACACACCACAACAATCTTCATCTATAAAAGTTCTGTGAAGAAACAAGCAACTTTTGTATCACTACGCCGACGCTGAAGAACTAAAATAAGACCAGCTCTAACCACTACTTCCATCCTCACGCTTCATCCCATGCCCTCCAATTTCATCCACCACCCTCTCCCTAACATCACCTCTCTCCTCCAAAACCTCATCAATCGTCCTCACTGGTCCTTTGAAGAAGGTCTTTCCCCCATACTTCGGACACCAATAATACGCCGTACAAAAAACCAATACAAATCCCAACACCACAACCGCATAATTCATTTCATCGGCGTTTGGATCCTCATAGCTCGGGAATAATAACAACACAAAAATGAATGTCATCCACACAACCGAGTAGACTGCACTGATATAACTTATCTTATCGCCCATGTACCAAACCCCGGGCGTGAAATTGCGAAAAAGGAGACGGGATACGAGAGGCATGCAGTAAGCGAAGTAGAGGCCCATGATTGCAAGGTTGAAGATGCTGTTTATGGCAATGGTGTTGACTAGCATGAGAAGACCTTCGGTGAGTGTGCAAAGTGCGACGAAGGAGATGGCACGGATAGGAGTTTTGTTGTATGAGAGAACACGGAGGTAGGATGAAAATGGGAGGCCGTGGTCTGTTTTAAATTGTGTTAGATTTTCCCTGCCACATGACACCATTCTATATCAGCAAGTAATGAAATAGAATAACTAACCTCTAGCGAAAGCGAAAGTTTCTCTCGAAGCCGCAACCATCAAGATCGAGCAATTGGCCACACTCGAAATCCATAGGAAAACCAACAAGGCAACACTTCCATCCTTGCCCAAACTATTGAAAGCAATCTGTGCCAGAGGCTGGCCCAGTGGTGATGTCACTATACCAATCACATCTGTTCCCATGCAGAATGCAATCGTTATAATAACTGCCCACCCCGTCACTGCAGCCGTGATCAATGAAGAGACCATTGCGAATGGCACTGCTTTGGCGGCATTACTGGCCTCCTCCGCTATAGTCGCTGCACTTTCAAATCCGGAGACAACCCATACTGGTGTAAGAAATGAAAGCATGAAGGCCCAACCATTATTTGTCCAAAACCCGGTGTTTTCGAAATCTGCAAAGACAAAACTCGCAGAGTTTTTGAGTTCCGAGGGTGTTCCAGCGGCGAGAGCAACAATCAGAGCAAAAAGCATAGCAAATTGTAGGAATATGTAAAACACATTGAGACGAGAGAGGATTTGTGACGGCACGCAAGTCATTGCAAAGGTCAGGAAGGTGGTTGCTGCGAACATGCCGTAATTTTGATATTTTGTAGCGACAAACGCAGAATCTGTATTGATGCTACAGATTGCGCCAAGAATAAGAGTCGCTGCATAGATTGTCGATGCGTATATCGAGATATACCCTAAAACGTTCATATAACCGCTAAAACGACACGGTTAGAGTTTGGTGTAGATATGATTACAGATGAAGGAACGTACGCAAGCCAGCACATGAAAGCCCTCTGTCGTGGTGGTGTGAGACGTGCAACCCACTGTCAAGCGTTAATATTCATGAGTCAATTAATCATTTTCGGGTATTGAAGACTTGCATAATACAATCCTCCGGAAGTAGGCATGCTGCTTCCTAATTCCCCCAGGCTCAATGCCACTGGAATAAGCAACAGACATCCAACCAGATACGTCCATACCATTCCCACACTTCCGGCACTGCCCAAACTGAAAACCATACTCTCGGCAATTGCTGGAGCAATCCCCATAGAGCCAAAACTTTGTCCGAAGACAGTGGTGTATGAGAATTCGCGTTTTAGTTCAGCTCGATATCCCAGGGATGCCAATAACTCGTCGTCGGCCGATATTGTCTCACCTTTCTCCACACCCAGCATTTCGGCTGCCTTTGAAATCTGTTCAGATCGCGATATGGATGAGGTGTTGCTGCCATCACGTCCCCCCTTTTCAGGATACTTGCCTGTTTCCTCAGACATGGGGAAGAGCAACCATACAAGACGTTGTCAAGACTTTCTAATTGTGTTGATAGCTCCAGTAACTAATAATTCAATTTTGAATAATGTGTTGCAGAATTGTTGCGAAAGTAAGTCTATGAGATCCTAAAAAATGGGGTATGAAATTCTTTTAAATTATGTCCCGAGCTTCCTTCAAATCCGAGATAAGGGAACCGCAACCCATGAATCCAAGGCTCAAGGCCGTGAAATCATCCCATCGTTGAGCCTTGCCATGCAGCATGAACGACTTTATTCTTGCATACTTAGCATCATTGATGTCCTACGCGACGGAGACAACACAAGCCATGCAGTGGCATGCGAGCCATGATGAGAGGGAGTTCGGGATGTTGAGATAAGGAATCTGGGGGAGCATGCTTGCTAATGGCCACAGCGTTTGGGACCGATAAGGAACCCCTGAAACCACAGAACCGGCGGAACTATCTTTGAAAGTATGAATATCGAATTCAAAGATATCGATACCGATAAGCATTTCAATTGAGTAATGAATAAACACTACAATGCTTGCATCCAAAGATGAACCGAGGTATGAAGACACCACTTGATAGTCTTTCTTGCGCAGCATCTAAGGTCGTGACGTCTTCAATTCGCCATCTCATCCAATCCCACCCCAGTTGAGCCCCAATTCCATCATCAGCAAGGCAGGGCTGGATCAGATCCTCATATTCCGAGGACATCACCGTCGCGACCTTCCTCATTCTCATGCTGGAATCTGCTTACGATTGGCTTTTTCATGGATAGTGCACTGCTAGGGTGCTCTCATCGATCGGGACTCACGTAGATAGGGGATGCTTATTGTCTTATCGACGCGAATCACTTAATTCGCTGCGAATGATGAAGTAGAGAGGGTGACAATTTTCATCTTGAGCATTGTGCTAGCTGTGATGATGTTCCCTAAAGATAGCAGTAGAGCTCGACATGATTGGTTTCAATCTTCCAGTTGACAAAACATATGCACGATGCACAGTCGATCTGAAGATGGGTGAAATTTTGCATTGCGATATGTTGCTGAGAGCATGATTGAGGTCTGCAAGATCAAAGAACGTAAATCTTATGATATGGACATGTAAATGGAGTCAGGAAAACGTGTGATGACGGTGAGTACGAATTTTTTGAGATAGACTAGAAAAACAAAGATATCAAGAAGATCAAAGCAAATTCGAAGACATCAGTGGTTTTGTTCGTTGACATTCATTGTGGGCGAGGTGATTATGTAATCAAACGGCGAAATAGGAAGTAACAAACGAAGATGTGTCATAGAAATGTTGTTTTGTTCAACCCACATTTTCCCTGAATTTTCACTTCCATCATTTAAAACAATTTGGATAGACAACTCGACGCACTGCAGGAACCGTTGCCGGTATTTCCTAATCATGAGATGAAGAAGTCTTCAAAGTGGCGTGGTTGAAAGGGAAATGGAAATCCTTCCTCGGTGGAGATTTTGACATTGATAAAGTCTACGCGGAAGGACGACATAAAATCATACAAATTGTTTCACAAGCCTTCGACTTCTATTATGCCATCTACTCTATAGGATCTTTGGTACATCCTCTCCAGTTAGATCCGAGTCCAGATTCAGTTTCATGTCCAGGATTGGTCCAAATTTTGAACAGGTATCTTCATTGAATCGCGATATTAATTATCTATATATGAGCACTTCTTTCGACTTCCATATCTCAAATCCACCTCTCCGCAATATCTTCTACTTTCCTGTTTTCCTCTGCTTCTTCTTGTTTTGCTTGTTAGCATCACGAAATACGCATGCTGACGCACTCATTGCTGGCTGGTGACTTTACTTGCCCATCTCTCTCTCTCTCTCTCTCTCCACGGCCTCGAGAACCTCCTCTCGAGATTCAATCGTGCGGTTTTCGTTATGGACCAACTCGACCTGCCATTGATTATTTGATTTGAGTTTCCTTGTTATTTGCTTCTTCTGCTTCGCAATACAGCTCTTTCCGATGATATTTCGATTGAAACTGAACGGTGGATTTACTAATTCAGAACTCACTCGTGCTATGGCCGGATTGTTTGCTTCGATTTCTTCAATTTGACGTTTTATCATCATAGTTTTCGGAACAAGTCAAAATACAGTGTTTTTCTTACTGTTGCCTGAGTGTTTAACCAGTAACTTTTCGAAATGTTACCTATTCTTATGCCCTATTGGAACAAAATATTTCATAGGCTACTGGTAAAGCACCCCGCAACAATCTTTCGGGTCAAATACTCTCTTCTGACTGGCTCTACCCACAGCGATAACTTCGACTTGATTGGATTTTTGGGATGTTGGGACTGTTGGTGGGTTGCATCATCAACCCTTGCTACTTTGACATGCAGTGTAACATCAAAGCCATGGTGTTGTAACCTATCGCTGCTTTTGTGGATATCGACCACAAAAACTTCACCTGACTGTTGTGATGAAACCCGAGCCTCACAATTTTCACACCAACTCCTTTAGTCACGGGTTGTTGGAGTGCCTAATAATTTTTTGGCCATTTCTATCTGTTATTAAGTTCCTCATACAAGAAGTTATCTTGAGACGGTATCTTTGTTATTCCAGATATATCAGTCGAGTGATTTTCAGCCTCGAAAAATACTTCATATCTCTTTAGATAGATTTATCTATATTCACTCCAGTTTTCGCTTTCGATGTACTCTTTTTTGCTGGTGACTTTGATATTGGAATCAAGCTGAACACGTCAGTTCAGACATTTCTCTCATTTCGCATGGGATAGAACTTACATCTTTAGGCAAGACGAGGTCTCCCCACCCAAATTCCGCACTACTAGCTATGGACTCTGCTGCTTCTCTTCCAAGTCCTCCTGGACGAGCCTTATCGTGCGCTTCGACAGTGACTTCTTCGCAAGTAACTTTGTTCCCAGTTACCTGTCCCCAGATCTCAAAAAAAGGTAGCGAAACTTGCTGCTTCGCTAACTCCCAATAAGTCCTGCTTTGAAGGACTTCGGACCAACAATTCTATCAAAGAACCTGCATCAGTTGGTACAACAAATGTATGTTCCGCTGCATTTGGGCTGGCATTGTGGTAGATATATTCACCCGAACCATCATCCTTCATAATCGTATCAGCTCCACGATTTCTCAGGCAGGAAACATGACGTCATACCTTTCTTTTGAGTCTGAAGGCGTCCCCATAGTCTTTCACATTCGTCATGTAGATGCCCATATTCAGTAAACTCCTCTTCTCCCACAAGTCCTTCTGATCTTACTGTAAATACGTCGCAACCTCGGCTTTTGCATCAAAATGGTACACATAGGAATATTTTCCATTACTCAACTTCTTGAAGGAGGGAAGGGTATTTGGACATGAATCTCTCAAGTTTTCCTTCTTCTTGCAAAATTTTGGCCGCAGCGTCAACAATTGCTTTCCCTCGATGAGTCTCAATGGCAGCAGCATATTCACCGGCAACCTGATCTTCCTGCTTGGAAAGCTCTGCATACTTTCTGTAAAACGGTTCCCAGAAATTTGTGACAGCGAAGATTGCTTCCGCACCAGAGAAAGCTGCGACAAGTGAGGCTGGGTCATCTTTGTCGGCACTGACAACCTCGATACCTTGACTTGAGAGAGCTTGGGCTGATGGCGAAGGGGTATTTTGAGTGATTCCTCGGACTTTCCACCCTAGTGAGAGAAACTTGGCAACGACAGAACCACCCTATGATAAATGTAAGTATGAGCTACTCGTATGAAGGTGAATGATAGGATACCTGGATGCCAGTTGCTCCTAAAACGACGATAGTTTTGGCCATGATGACGACTCGTGGAAGTGTGAAGCAAGAGATTGAAAGAAATGCGTAGGATTGAGGCTTCAAAGGGGCTTGGAACTCAAAGCTTGTCTGTATCTACCTCCGGAGAAGCGACCTTTCTCGACATATTCATAATCCATCAAGATAAATTGTCGAACCAATTATCCTGACAAAGTCATGAATAGAAATTAACGGACCCAGTCTCATTCACGGCATCAATGTAGGTAAACATCATCAAAGCATCCAGTTCGAATCCATCAAATTCATCTACAAGTCTCACATCGCTGATAAATCAAGAAAAATTATATGTTCAATCGGTCAATGAGCATCAAGCGTTGTGACGATGACGGCGAGCGGCGGCCGGAATCCCGCCAAGAAGTTATGGTGAACCTTACCTAAATGGCTTGATGTCTAATAAGCAGTGCAAAATATTTACAAAAATATTTGAACATATCAGGCTTCAAAGTCTCCGCCGGTCCGCCGGTCCGCCGGAGAAGTTCAAAAGCCTAGCTTCCGGTCACTCTCTATGCGGGTATACCATCACGGTAACCTATGACTTTGTGTTCAGCAATGTTCACCATAAAACATCAACATCCGTTCAAACCGGCTTCAGAAAGGCCCGTGACAGCCAAGATTTGCTAGTATTTTACGTGGCGAAGACTCCTTGCCGAAGCTTACTTTGCACTCAGGAAGAATGTCTCGGGTCAATCTCTTCTTGCAATAAAGTCTACCGTGTTCCGCCCAATTTACAGAAGCGGATTTCCTTCAAGCCCTTCCGCCGACTGAGAACAATACGTTCGGGATATCTCAGGATAAACTTCGGAAAAGAGAGAGAGTATGTGTCAGAGAGTGGGGCATTGACACTTTCCGTCTAATCCGCTCTTCAACCAAAAGCGTGGATGCCCAGTGAGAGAGCCCCTCGAAATTGTACAGAAGTCAATTCTTGGGAATCTCTGTGTTTCCGAGCAGATGGTCAACTACCATATTAAATCCACAACTTCCCATACCACTTTTCTCAGTGTGGTTAAATTTTTGAGTCTATAGTTGTTAAATTATAAATCCACTTGATCGATTCTCTCTCACTAGAAAATAAGAAGCGACAACATTTTTCCGAGAGTTATATAGGTCTCTCCGTTCCAGAATCGATGGGCCGAGACTCAAGAAGAGGTATCTCAAGCTATAGTCACTTCCTTTTGAGATAGGCAGTGGATGGTGACAGCAGTGACATTCAATCAGATAAGATAGCAAGCAACATGCTTGCGATCTTATCTGCATCAATCAATCTCCAGCCAGGGGTTATGCGAAATCTGCATTTTTTTTAAATTTCTGACCGTATCAGAAGAGATGAATTGATTCCCCTAAACACACCGTTAGTGGATTTAGCCAGAGGGGTCTAGCATGAAGAGAATTGGCGAATGGAAATTCAGTTATGATGCAATCTTGATGGGCAATTTTCAAAAACCCCTTGGCAAAGTCACACCTTTTTACTTATGCTTATAACTTTCGAAATTTGCTGACGTTCAAAGTTGAATCCTCAGTGAATCAGAAGTCAAAGGGTTGAGAACTTGAGATCAGTCTTCCGGAATTTTGAGTGGAGCTAGGAGATCCACACGTGCCAACTCAAATCGGACGCGATTCGTAGATCTCATTTACGAGAACAAATTCCTCACAATGATCAAAGTGGGATTCATAGATTTAGATGGAATAATCGGATATGCAACTTCTATACAAAAAGGCGTGATAGTCTCGAAAGTTTTCCTAGATCCTTCGTCTCAATCCTTACCTCAATTTGCTTAAGGTCAAGATGCTCTTCTCGTCTTTGCGGTCGACGACATGTTTGTTGATCTCATCTGTACTGACCGATCATGTTAACGCTAAACCATTCGTTCTGGACCACAGGACAAATGTCTCGTACACAGGAATTACCTCTAGCAAAGGGGTGGAAACTTTCCGGGGTATCCGATACGGTTTAGATACAAGTGGTGAAAACAGATTCGCACCTCCTCGAGCTTTCATCCCTCCCCACGGCTATCATTACAATGCTACAATCCCGGGGTTTGATTGCCCTCAGCCTCCCGGCGCGGGTTTCTTGTTCCAAACAAACGTCACAAATATTTCAGAAGACTGCTTGAATCTGAATATTGCCAGACCATCTTGGGCTAAGGATGGCTCAAAGTTGCCAGTCATGGTTTACATCTATGGAGGTAAGTAAGTCTATGAATCTCTATCATTCGAAGCCACTAACCAATGCAGGTGCATTAATTGACGGCACCGTCAATGAAAGGACCACTGCACCTGATGGACTTATCCATGCTTCGGTTGAAGGCGGCCAGCCTGTAATCTACGTTGGAATGAACTACCGTCTCAACATTTTCGGATTTGCAGCTTCTGAAGCTCTGAGACCCAACAAGTCTCTCAATGTGGGTCTCCGGGATCAAAGATTGGCTCTTGAATGGATTCAAAAAAACATTGAAATATTTGGGGGAGATAAAGACCAAGTGACAATCTACGGACAATCCTCAGGAGGTTTAAGCGTGGGTTTGCAAATTCTCGCGTACGGAGGCTCGAAGCCTGTACCCTTTCACGCAGCTGTGATGGAAAGCACTGCACTCGAGCCAACTATGTCATCAGATATCAGCTTCAACTCCACCGCTGCAGTTGCTGCTTTTGCTGAATGCAATACTACTGATTATCAATCCATGGAAACGATTGCCTGCTTGCGATCACTCTCCATGGAGACTCTCTTGAAGCTCATGATTGACCAAGAAGTCGATAGCGCCGAGAGCAATGATGGAGATATCTATCTCCCGATTGTCGATCAAGACTTCCTTCCTCAAAAAGCTTCGAAACTCCTCGCACAAGGGAAATTTGCTAAATTGCCTATTATTGGTGGATGGATGGAAGACGACGCCACACTCTTCACATCGATCACCATTGAAACCGCAAATGACACAAGAGATTTCCTGTCCAACTTATACAGAGACGTCAATACCACCACATTTGATGAGCTCTTAGATCTGTATCCTGTATCCGAATTCCAAGCCGATCCCAGCGCAAACTTAAGTGCCGAGTACTATCGCTGCGCCCAGATCTTTCGCGATATCTTACTCGCCTGCCCCACTGTCCTTTTTACCCAAGCTATGGCCAAAAAATACAACACTACAAACCCACCGTCATATTTGTACGTTGGGAATCAAACAATCCTAACCTCCTATCTCGATGCTACGGGTGATGTTGGGTTTGGGGTTATCCACACTAGTGAGCTTGCGTATCTTTTCAACAATATTGATCTCTTCAATGTCACCGATTCCGACCTTCCAGGATATGTGTTTGAGCCTACGGAAAGTGATTATGCTTTAGCGAAGAGTCTACCGTTGTCGTGGATTTCGCTTGGAAAATATGGAGACCCATCGAAGATTAATGGATCAATGGAGGGTTGGACATCCGCGTGGCCAACTAGGGGAGGAGAGGGAGAGATCTTTGTCATCGGAGGGGGAAACGGGGGAATGAGCAAGCTTAGAAGTGATGGAGGGAATAGCGGAATAGTGGGAGAGAGGTTAGTAGAGAGATGTGGCTTCTTAGGGAGGGAGGATGTGATTGAACAGTTTCAGTACTGATAAGCAAGGTATCTACACCAATAATTAAAGGTTCATGTGATTATTATAACACAAAAAATTTGCAACGCTCCAATGTGCCACTTCGTAGACCACCTGCAGTACCGAATAATCCGAAAGTTCCATCATACGATGGCCCGTGCTTGGCACGCATTATCCTCCGATGTTTTTCACAACACAATTCCACTTCAGCGAGGAATCTTAATTTATCACTGACGCACCATTGGCAGATCTCCCTTTCTTTTTGGTCTTCACGATATCAGGAAGGAAGCTCTGGACTTTTTCGCAATGTGACCTTGTGGCTTCGTGAAAGCCTTACTGGACATGGTGCTCCTCGTTTGAGTGCAGATAATTTGAGCTCGCGGCCTAGTTCGTGCCATGGCAACTGGCTTGGAAGAATGCAGATACCTGCTTATTGGGAATACAAGCTCTTATTCTGCAATAACTATTGGATCAAATGAGAAATCTGCCTGCCAATTCCACTCCTGTCAAACAAGGCAAATTTGTTTTTTGAAACAACGATTGGTAATACTTGATAATATGGCTCTTCCAAGGCTCACAGCACTGCCTGATCAAAATGCGAATTCCCGATCAGACATGCTCCGAATATTTGATTAGTGCCACTTTGCACATAATGGTGGCGAAGAAGAGTTTGGTGCGACATCAAGCGTTTGACTGCATCCGTACGACTATCGAGCCTCGAACTGTCTCAAATAGCGCGGTATGGGAAGAAGGGTACTTCTGGATCGTTTTTTATCTCTCTCAAAACTTATCTTCTAACTCTTCAGACTTTTTCATACATATCGAACATAAATTTTTAGCACAATCACTGACGATGGCCGAAGTTCTGGGAACTATTGCCAGCGGGATCAGTATCGCGCAGTTGGCTGGAAACCTTGCGTCTAGCATCATCAAGTTTAAAAGCTATTGGGACCAGATCCAGGATGCACCCGACGATATCGCTTTCCTTGTATGCGAAATTGAAAGTCACCATACCATCCTTCGCAGTATTTTGGAGAAGCAAGCGCAGCTCACATCTTCTTGTCATCCTACAAGTGGATTCTTTGATCAGAGTATAAAACTATGTCACAATGCTTCTTCGGAATTAGACGGGCTTGTCAACGCCCTGTCCAAGGATATCAACTCCAATCGAAAATGGAAACGCACAATGAGTTCTGCCAACGTTCTATTGATGGCGGAGCAGTTAAAAAAACTGAAAAAGAGAATGAAAAATGCCACTAGATCCATGCATTTAGCCATATCTTGGCAGATGAAGTGAGTTTCTGCAACAATCGTTAATCTAATACTAACGTATCGTAGCACAGTTCTACAACAGCAATCCTCAACTCTCACCTCAAATGTACAAGCGTCACTCGATCATTTCTTACAACACTGGCAGAATCACCTCTTGAACTCAGGACTTTCGCAGCCTACATGTAGTACGAAAGTATCTATGAATAGCGCTGTTCTAGCGCAAACCATCAATATCACCATGGAGGCCAAAAATAGACTTCCAGTAGATCATAACTTTTATGAACGAGAGCCGTTTCGAACTATGAGTCACTATAATTTGTCGAGTTGGATCACCTTCGCTTTTGGGTCAATCGGAATGCAAAAAATTATCAAGAAGAACCACAAAGGGGCTTTCCAGAAGTCCGAAACTGTGTACCACCCCCCGGCTTGGATTTCCCGCAGGGCATGGCAAGTTATGTATACGAAGGATTTATCCTCGTTGAGATGGAATATCAACATTCAAACATGTCGCACTTTGGACGGGGATACGGCTTTCTTTAGTTCTGTCGTTAGTGGTGATATCCTCAATGTGCAAAGGATGCTACGAGAACGGACAGGATTTGTGAATGACAGATTCTATTGCAGCAGTGCCAGCGTTTATTTTACCCGATCTATGCAAGAGTGGGTAGGAGCAACTCCTCTCCATGTGAGTCTTCAAAACGCCTCTGAATCTTTGAGTTATTTCCACGTCTCTAATATTCTACAGGTAGCAGCGCATAACTGTCATTATAATCTATGTAAGTTGCTTCTTTCTGCAAATGCCGATGTTTCAGCTGGAGATCATTGCACAGGGTAAGAATCTTTGAAAGTTCACTTTGAATAGATGTTCCGCAATAGCTGAACAAAGATGCTAGTGCCACCCCTTTGCAGTATCTAATTTCTTCGCCATGCTTGAATAGGAACGACAACCGGAGGAAAACTTTGGAAATACTTCGCATCCTTGTTGAAGGAGGGGCGGAAGAAGAATTTCTTGGAAACAGTAACTTTCTCGAGAAAACAGATATGCCTGTGGATATATTTAGTTACATACAACACCACACGTTTTTGAATGAGCCCCTGTTCGCGGAAAAATGCAAAATTGCAGCGAGAATCGTTGAAAAGGCCGCGGGGTACAGGAATACCCAGCAGTGCATCAGATCATTGCTTGGCGGGCCAAAATTCTCGTTTTACGTCGGGCTGCACAACAATGAAAAAGCACTGCAAGAAGTTTTCCAGATCTTATGTCAGAATGTTACTAGCTTTGGGATTCAGAAGGTTAAAAAACAAACGAATCCCTCAATTTCTAAACACCCATCGGCAGAACTTCTACAGGAATTGATAGGAGCACAGGTTCCTCTCCATGAGACTGGGACTGGCTTTACACTTCTACAGAGAATGATATGTAACTGCATGTTCCAAACAGGAATAAACCACAGGGGACGTCAGATACTCGATTGGATCAACCTCTTACATGCTTCTGGTACTGATCTGGAACAATATGGCGAAACAGAACGATCTATCTTCAAGATGGGAAGGCGCAACAATTTTGAGTCACTGGTATTTCGCAGTCGCATAAACCGAGTCGAAGTTTTAAATTTTGAGGGCCCTATGAAGCCGGTAATCAACTATGAACTGGGATTTTCTCGTTTAATTGATTTTACCTACGGTCCTTGTGTTGAGGATTGGAATTTTTGGTTCTCAGAACCAACGGATCGATTTGCTGGAGACTTTTGGTCGCTCATTGAAGATCCGTCTTTAATTAATCTTGTTCCAGGCGCATGGGTTGATAAATCACTTTATAACTACAGTAAAACGCGCCAAACTCGGTTATGGGATGTAAATATCAAATATATCTAAGTGAAATTCTTATGTAGCATTGTTCTCTGGGGAAAGTCATGACACCGAACTCACTGTCATCTTCACTTCAAGCAGCGTCGACGAGAATGATGTCGGCGAAGCTGCTGTTTGGGTCTGATTTAGCAGGAGCAGGTCTTCAAATGAACTCGTGGCAGATACTCTTGCAATAGCTCAACAGTAATCCATGACTACTTTTACACCACTAAAATAATATATACAATTTGAAAAATATATGGAGCATACATCATACAAACAATCCTGTCAGTCCACACCTCCTTGTTATTACTTCCACTAGCTCTCCTGTAGCCTCTAGTCCAACTGATCTCTGAAACTATGGGTACAGAATCAAAGGACTAACTCCTTGAGCCGTTCCCAACGTAGTCTCATACTGCAACTTCCACCACTCAACTCTTTTACGGTCCTGCATAAACTGTCTAAACCCACTAGTCTGTGTTGTGTTACTCGTGTAAACCGTGCCTCCGATATCCAAGCTCTTTCTAGGCGATCCAGAAGTTGAAGCCTTCTGCCATTCATCACTGGTAACCCAAGCCAAGAAAAGTTTAGCAGTAGCAGGTCTCTTGGTAGAAGCAAAAGCCGCAGCTGTTTGTGCCCATGCCATGTGCTGTTCTGGGGCTGCTGGTTGCGCCATTTGAAAGTATGTTTCATTTGAGGGTGGATAAGTGGTGAATGAGAGAACTCTTCCTTTAGGGGAAGAACCAGATGCGGATTTGGTGGCGTTGTTGTGGTTGTCCCGCATGACAAACCCTGGGGTGGCGGTACCGCGGACCCATTGAACATCTTGTGTTGCAAGAGCATCGAGCCATTCAAAACCGTACTTTTCGATGATGATGGAGAAGAGATAGCCGATTGCATCGTCATCGTTAGGGTAAGTGGCCACAATCTTACTCTTCCATTTTGGGTCTAGGAGGTCAGCATAGCTGGTTGGAGCGTCGGATGCTGAAACATAAGTACTGTCCCAAGAGAAAGTTCCGAAGCTACCTTAAGGAAGAAGTTAATACCATATACTCGAGCAAAATTCACCAAGCAAGAAATACTAACCAATGTTAATAGGCACAAAAGCACCATCGAGATCCTTCTCTCCCGAATAGAGATCAGCGAAAGTTGGAGACTTGTAAAACAGTAAACGTCCGTCTTCTTTCCATCTTTGGAAATCATTGAGAGTTTGAAGAACGGCGATATCAACGGTTTCATTTTTAGCCCAGTATGCTCGATCAATTCGACTATCGTGGTATTTGGAGAGGTCGACTGTAAGATCGAGGGCAATTTTTGGGAATCGCGCAGCCCAAGCTGCTCTCATGCTGTCACCTTGGACTCCGGCTATAAGTTTGTCAATACATGTTTATTCTTACAGAAAAACGATGAGATCAAAGATAGTCATCGAAGAAGTTACTAACCATCACCACCTGAAGCTACAACCAATTTTCGATCTTCTTTGAGGGCTTTAGCGTAAAGCTCGTCAATAGTCGAAGTATCGATTGGAACATTGTTTACCCGGGCGAATGAAGTGCCAAAGATGCTGCTCAAGGCAAGTGCTCTAGCAGTTGAGAAATACATTTTGGACCGAGTTGAAGCAGGAACGATTTGAGTAAAAAATGACTCCAAAACCCGTGGTCTGCTCTGGGATGAATAAACACTATAGAAGATGGGAAGCACCTATATATGTTTCCCACGAAACAAAATATGGATAGATCTGCCAACGATGCTGATCGTGACCAACTGCAACAATCTCGCCATTTCTGCTGTGCACTGGCACTATGCCGACGCTTACCCGCCATCTTTATCACAAAGCAATGATTTCTAAAAACTCTCCATCGCTGATTAATGATGACGAGATCGACATTCCACCAATTTTACGAACGGCTCCCTCCAAATCTAACTTCGGAACTCTAATTATACAGAAGGTCAATTGACATCGGCTGCAATCAGCATCAGCTCCAATTAAGACGAGGCTGCGTGAGCGGAATGTCACTCGGTAGATTGAACATCCTTGTTTTACCGAAGCACTTGACCTCAAAATCAATCTTGATCCCCTGAACATCCATACATATTTTGTTGTACAGATGAACCTGGATATACGGGCCTAAAAATTTCGAGGCCTAAATGCCCGTATATAGGGGTTTCCCGTATATACAGTTTCAGCCTTGGCATTTAGCCTCGTTTTATACCTTTAGCCTCGTTTTTATATCTTCAGCCTCCTCATTTTCATTAAATTTGTCATGTGATAGGCTAAAGCTTGGACCACTACCACCAATTTTTATAAGAGCATTGGGAAAATTAGGACCATATGCTCTTATATAAAGGTATGCCCGTATAGGTCAATTTAACCATATAAATTTTTTTTAAGATTGAAAAATATGCCCGTATAAAGGGGATTCCCGTATAGCACGTGCCCGTATATCCAGGTTCATCTGTATGTGAGGTGAAGGAGACTTTAAAGAAGGTTAAAATCAACGTTGGACGAAGCCCCTGACTAGGACAATATAATATGGGGTAGACCAATGCTCTACCGGGGCTTGAGTCCGTGCATGGGAAGCTTGTCTGTCAGTGCATATCTGTGCCATCATAAATTATGGAAAATTATGCGTTAAGCGGAGTTTACCGATTTTCTCTTAGAGTACCGTATTCTTTTGGAATATTGGCCGCGCGCTAGAAAGGATTAATACTTTAAGGTTAATTTAAAACCAATTAGCTCGCTTTTCAGTGGAATCAAACGCCTCAAAATAGAAGTTTTTAACAGAAATATTAGGCATTTGATGAATAATCTATTAAAGAAATGAATCAAACAACTCTGGTGGTTACCGCAACCCTAACCCACAAGCCCACAAAAGGCCTCCAATTGGCTCTAAAAGTATTAATCCTTACTAGCGCGCGGCCAATATTCCAATAGAATACGGTATCTACGAAGGCATCGCACGTTTGTTGAAGACCGCAATCTCCGAATACTAGAATCAATCTCGATTTCGTTTCTTTTTCCTAATTTACATGATGCACGAGATATACAGCAAGCCTTCACTTCCGATTTTCTTCACTTCCAGCCGTGGTACTCGTGCGGTTAGGAAGTGTGCAACACTATATCGGTCTTAATAGCCCAGTGGAATCCACTGCTTCTTTCAATCCCACGCAGCACGAGTATCTCGTAATGGCATTTCAATCCCCACGTTGATGCAGGGATAGATTGAGGGCGCCGAGAATTCGTTTACTTCTGCCGAAGCCTTGAGGAATTTCCCCTCGTCTCCACCCACCCCCGTAATAGTCGGCTCGATAAACGGCCGACTAGTTACTAGTTGGGGAAAGCGAATGTCCCCGGAAAGCGATTTATTTCTGTGAGATCATAACACTAATTATATTGATGAATCTCAACTGATCCCTATTACTAAGAGTTATATAGTTGAATGGTCATGTTTTAATGAAGCTGATATTAAAGATTTTTTTGTGATCATATTAAAAACAAGATCTTGTGATACAAACCATTCGATTTTGTTGATTTTGAAAAAAAAAAAATTCCTATCAAAATCTCATAGGGGCAATTCGCTTTCTGGGGATATTCGCTTTCCCCAACTAGAAACTAGTCGGCTATTTCTGGGAGCCGACTATTATAGCTTAGACATCTTTAGGGCCGAAGTGGAGTACTATACGATATGACATGGGGACATTTTACCGTAAATAAAGCGAATAGTTATGACAAAAAGCTCATGGAATCACGACATGCAAGTGTCGGGAATTGGGATGTGGAACGCAGGGAACGGTATTTCAATTGGATCACTAATCATTCAAGTACTTCGGGAGCCCACTAGGTCCAGCCAGAGAGGATTAGTCACCACGAATGAGAATCTTCCATCAGATAAGTCAGACCTAGAAATGTTGCGGAATTCTTACATGTTCTCACAGGGTACTCCGAAAGCCATCAACGCAGATTCAGGAAGTCTGTTGCAGACTTTCAATTGATGTCCATTGGCTCGAAAGACAGCATGAGCTTCTGGTGCGTATCAGATCTACTACCGCTTGATGGCTTCGAGTATCTTCAACCCTGATGATTCTCATCTAGTGAGGCTCCAGAGCACCTAAAGTGGTGTAATCTTTGAGGAAAAGTTACAAATGCTAACTGGAACAGGAACCTCTTAGAGAGCGCTTTCGGATCAATAATGTTGTCGATTCAAAGAAGATGGAAAATGGTGCAAAGGACTTAATTATGTTTTAGAAACGGAACTTACGCGACATAAAATGTGCCCCATCCATTCAGATGTTGAAGGGAGGAGCGAGGCGAAGTATGATGGGCGATTCCAAAACAGATCTGATCAATTGACATTGTTTCTACTTCGAAGAACTCGTGTTACAATAGGGCACTACTCAGTGGGCAACAAAATCTTCCAAGCCGAGAATTTCTCTACTTTCTTCGCAAGTTCAATTTGAACGTACCTCTCTGGAATTGATGAATGTTTGATGGCGTCCATTGATAATTGTGTGGAAACAAAAGATCTGAGAAGTTAAAGCTACAATATACCGAGTTCGACGAGGAAGTAGCTTCTGATTACATTCTTGCTCTTCCATCACGATGCCTCTTTCCTATCGTGCTCACCGCCGCAATTGCTCTTTCCATTGTGACCTTGAATATATACTATAACTTAGATTCTGACCTTCTACAATCTCTGAAATTCAAACAAAGTACAAGACATTATAACCAGAATCAAAGTATCCAATACATCTACGCACCACTTATTCCAATACCAACAGAATTCTACACCAAGCAATTGCGTATTCTTCATTATCAAATCCATTACCAAATTCATCCAAAATCATCATCTGCTACCCCTCACGATGGATCCTGAAAATTCAACACCCTCATGGTGTCTAGTCTGTCGCAAACGCCTCACTCTGTCATACACATCAGGACACGGCATCAACATATCAACCATACTCTGTCTCCCCGAGAGATCACCCCGAGTTTCATACGACCACAAAAGAGAAGGTCATAACGGAATATATTTACACAACCCCGAACCAATCGATACCTCTTGGGAACTGAACATGCCTTTGTCCTTGCGTCTTAACGAGTCCGATTTCCAGGGAGCTGACTTCAACTTGCCGCCAATTCGGGATCCCAAAGGATTGGAGAAATTTGATCCTGTAAATGGTTATGCGATGCGGGAGGTGCTGGAACCGGTACCACAAGTACCGAGTCAGAATTTAAATATGACCTTGAACGGGTGAAACGTATGTAATCTGGCTTTCCTTTTTATGTATCATCTTAACCGTCTTCAAGCGTACCTCGTCCACGTCGTGGCATCGTTTCTCCGGTCTTTTTCTGTGGAACATCATAAACACAGCATTGAACCACCCATTCATTACTGTTGGGTTGCCGCGGTTTAATGTTGAAAGGGTTATAAAATTATCAGGATCATTCATCGTCCCCATTCATAATACATATTTACTAGAAATAAACAAGGGGCGTTAATCTATGTATCATAGAAGTGGCGGGTCATTGCGGAAATCGCTTCATGACTCTGCAATAGTCCAGACGATTGGATTATGAGTTTTCAGGCTCAAATATTTATATCGAGCAGTACAATTCATTTTCTTCGCACGATTGTACAAGCTACATGAATAAAACAACGTCTACTATTAGTTCATCATCTATATCTCTAGATCATTAAAAATATTCATGTGAAAACCATGCCGTATACATTCCTGCGAAGCATCACTTCTACCCTCAGACTGCCTTCCGCTCTCAGGCTAATCTCTCTTTCTCCATCACTCCCAACTCACACCATACCTTCACAGTCCCCTCTCACCGCTACGGACCCCATCCCATTCTACGATAAGTAACATATCGAACATAAGGACTATCATATGGCCCACTAATTCTCGCATTGGGTTCCATGGTTCTACCCACACTCATGGGGTGTCTTCGTACAACTTCATTCGATTGATTATTACCGTATACGATTCGAAGAGGTGGGAGGCGGTTTTGAGGAAATGCGTAATAGTCGCGGATATTGTTGGGAGTTGGATGAACTCGTGGTGGAGGTACTGGACGGTAGGGATAGACGTGGACGTGATAGGGATTCATGTTCATGATTATGTTGGTGGTGTAGTAGGTTTTATTGATGTTGTATTCGATCTTAAGCGGAAAGTCTGGCTTGGCTCTGTTTTAATGAATGGGCTTGGAGGCTCGGTTTGGATCGAAAGCCCAACTACCAGTACCAATTTGAGTATTTTTGATAACTATCAGATGACTTTTCCAAAGACCGAGCTGTATTTGATGATGGAAAGAAAGGAGGGAAAAAGAATTAGTTATGAAGCGAAGCCTTTTATAGCCAACTTCTGATATTCTTCAATCCCATTTATCTTGAATGAGCGCAGGATGATTCATGAACATGATTCTCTGCTAAACGTCTTCTTATCAGTTCAGCAAGAGAATGAAATAATTGCCCAGTTTAGGTGTTTGTCGTATCAAACTGGAAGCATGATTCGAAGGCAAACTTGCGATCGTTTTCGAGGCGAGATAGCGATTTGCGGAGCTTTCTCCACGACAGAACGACCTTTAGAATTTCAGTAATGATTCATGGAAGATTAGAATGCCCAGATATGCTAATTTCTATGAAATTGAGACTTTCATAAATTTCCTTCAGATCCAATGTATCTTACAATCATTCATTTTAGAAGAACTCCATTGTAACCTACGAAGATGTGGGTAAAATATCGAATTCTGCGAATAAGATAGAAGTGTGTTTGAAAAAGATGTCCATATCTGGAGCTCAAGGACAGAAAGGAGATTGCTTTCTTGTTTTCTCAGTCGTGGCCTGAATAGTTGAGTCGTAGTGCAACTACAACCCTCCCTTCCCCAGAAAGCTTTGGATATCCCCCATATTTTATTTCAGAAGCCACTAGCAACTTTTCCTTTAGACAAAGCAAGCTAAAGATTGCAGTAAAGTGAGGTTGTGGTGCAGCTACATCTTTCTGGTTGCACCATAGCTCGCGCGAGTATTATGATAGTTGAGAAACTCTTGTTAATTCTTCATGAAACACAACATCGATTGTCACCGGGGAGGATCGCTCGATAGATTCCCTGTGAATGGTGAGATCAGACAACTGGTCTCTCCATCGTAATAGATTCGCACATGCGAAAAAGAAAAGCTAGACTCTGAACCTCTCCTTGGATTCGCGACCATAAGACCACAACTCACAGTCTTCGCTTTCTTAGCTCGCAAACTTCCAGAAAGAACGGAGATGCAACTTACAACATACAAGATAATACATAGATAAAGCCACCTGGGTTTTAACCTAGGGATTTCTAATAGACTTCAAAGAAAAATTTGCCGAAAGAGGTGATTGCACTCTGGTGTTCCCGTGATTACTATTCAAGCCTTGAGAACACATATTCCGTGCAGCTTACAAATTTGCGTAACGCCTGACATTTAAGCTCGCTTGAAAGCTTTATATCTCATGACGAACAGAATTACATGTTTACTGAACATGTATTTGATGAATAAGCTCAGATGTTCTATCTATCCGGGCTTCAATGGACGATGATAGCTTCCCGTTTGGCGGACTTAATGCACTATGATATGACAAAGCTGGGTCGGCCATATAGGTAGAAGATTCTTTCGTATTTCTCTGGTGTATTCAAAAAGTGTATATAAAGAGAGAACATCTCAAGAAAGCAGATAAAACACAAATCAAATAGATATCCATCAACGAGTAGAGAGCTGAACCAGCAATACAATGTTTTCTTCCAAATCGGTACTCACCTTCATCTTCACCCCAATGAGCTTGGCCACTTCAATCCAGCACCCTTCAACGCCACTCTCATGGGACGTCTTCCACGCTCCCGAGCTTCCCGTTGTTGACCCACCACACAACTACACCATCTCTCCTACCTCTTTCACACTCCTACACGGCCAGTCGTCCGCCGTCCTAGTTGACGCTCCAGTCAATATCGAAACCTCCCACGCACTAGCAAAGTGGGTTTCTGAAATTATCGGCAACAAAACCTTAACTCACATTTACATTACCCACGGACATGGCGACCATTTCTTTGGCATCCCAGTTCTTCAACAACATTTCCCTGATGTGATCGCTTTAGCCACTGAAAGAACTATCGCACATGTAGCTGAACAATTGAGTTATGGGGAATTTGACGAGTTCTGGTCTGCCACATTTCCTGACCAGATGCCCACCCAGAATGAAACAATCCAGCCATTGCCTCTCAATGGGAAATTTTACCTTGAGGATCATTTGCTTCAGGCCGTCGAAGTCGGACAGTCGGATACATATAACACGACTGTTTTACACGTTCCTTCTCTAGAGCTTGTAATAACTGGCGATGCCGTGTATGGAGAATGTTTTCAGTATCTTGTTGAGACCAATACCGCGGAATTGAGGGCAGAGTGGATAAGAGCTGTTGATAAGATCGAGAGTTTGCGACCAAAAATCGTGGTGCCGAGTCACAAGCAGGTTTGGGATGGATATGGGACAGAGCATTTTAAGAAGACAAGACAGTATATCAAAGATTGGGAAACCTTGCTCGAAGTTGCGACGAGCGCCGAGGATTTGAAGGAAAAAATAACGGCTTTATATCCACAGAGAGTCGGGGACTGGATCTTGGGAATTAGCATCGACGAGGTGTGTCCTAACCCGAATAGTGTGAAGGGAAGAAATTTCTTTCCGGCACCTAGGATACAGTAAATATGGAAGGATATAATATGTTTGATGTGATCAGGGAAGAAGCCAGCAATTTAAGAGCGGCCGAGATGATTCAATATCAAACTCATTTCTTGGTCCAAGTTATAATTAGCCCTTCGTTATATCCAAACCTATTGAATATTGTCTTCTTAGATTATTTTATTTCGGTGTCATCAACGTGCTTTGTGGATGCAGCTGTAGATAGGCACAGACCATCCATCATAAATCAACCCCATCCACATGATATACACGTGACACTTCCTTTTTACATTCTTCTTATATCTTCATGCGCTCTTTATCACAAACGGTCAGTAACTAGGTAACCTCTCGTCTTACAGTTCAGCTCATCTCATAATACACAAAATATCAGATACAAATCACCCTTTGCCCCTATCCCCCTACCCAGTCTATGACCACGGACAGAACCCAGATATACCCAAGCCCTTACCCGTGCATCTACGTCCATAAAACCAAATCATCGTCCCGTACGAGTAAAGTTACCAAAAGAATCAGGATACTTCGCAAATTAAACGGGTGATGAACGATGCATAACCGAATGCGCATTTGGTGGGTTGGATAGGCCATAGGTGGGATGTTCTATAATTGTATGGTTCGGGTGGTCGTGAAGAAGTGATGGGTCTGGAATCGAATTGGGGAGTGGGGCCGAGATTTGGTAAGTACTTCGTACATGTAGGAACGAGGATGGAGGTAGATTCATCTACATACTGGATTTGTAAGGAAGAAGTGATTGATTGTGGTTCTCAGATGCTACTGAAGCGATGGGTGAAATAGTTGTGTAGCTTTGATGCGGATAGGCGAAGGTGAAAGTAAGATACAAAATTCAAATGGCGCCTCAAAATTGAGCCCTTCAAATCGCTGTAAGATGTGTCAAGTTCATACGTCAGAGTCTTTCCGGACTATTATTTCAGATAAAGTCTGCTCCATTCTGATATTGTATGCTATTTATATATATACTACCCTCTTTCGTCCATCCATGATGCATCCATTCATTGCGAGAGTTTCGTTAAGACTATGTACAGAAAAAGTCCCCCCCCCCCTGAAAACAAACTATTCATGCCAAGCTAGCGGTGATGTTAGAAAGCAATGCTTCAGTAAATTGCCACAACATAGTTGAATCTTGAACATGGAAAGCAGCTCCTGTGTAGAAAGTGTTTTGTTGTCCTTGAAGGGCATACAAATCACTGTAGAAACCAGCAGCAATGGCCTCAGCTGGAACCCACAATTCAAATGGTGTATGTCTGCTGTATGCGAGGAGTTCTGGAGTGCTCTTGGTCATACCGGTGATTTGGAGTCTTTCAAGCTCGCCATACATGGCAGCACGGACTTCGTCGTCAGAGATAGAGACTGCGGAACCGTAGTAAAGATTGAAGACATCTGGGATGGCAGTAGGGCTGATGGCATAAGCGGCTGGAAGAGGTGGGAATCCGTAGGTGGTGTTATCGGCGACATTGACAACAGAGATACCGGTTGGAAGACCAGTGTTACCAAAGACACCAACATAGTATCCGGAGTTGTTGAATTGAGAGAAAAGGGTTTTCTCCGAGGTGCTAAGATCCCATCCTGCAAGATTGTTAATCTGAGGTGTAATGCTGAAGACCAATTTTTGGGCATTAATGAACTTGTAGCCGGAAGGAGTGCTGATGAGAACTTGAGCACAGTCACCACTTCGGTCGACTGAGACGATTGTTGCGCTCAGAAAGACGCTGTCATCACCGATAATTTCTTGTGCCGATTCGTAGAGTAAGCTATTGTCCTGTGCAGACGTTGCTAAGAAGCCAGTGGTAAAACATTCGATGACACCGGTACCAAAGTTCTTGAGCACGTATAAAGTAGGCTTGGACAACAGATCTCCCAGACCCTGAGCAAAGTTGAACATGAATCCAAGGAATTGATCGCCGAGATTGTATTTGATTGCAAACTCCCCAAAAGTGAGCAACAGATCTTCTGGTACTGGGGTTGGTAAATCGAAGCCATTTTCAAGGTATGGATATTTCGCAAGTTGTTCCATGTACAGCATGAGGCCAGCGGTAAAGTCAGCAGTCGTGAAAGTAGAATTCTCAAGACCGGTTCGGAAATCGGCATATACACTTGATTGAACATATTCTGTTGTGTCTGCCACTGCCAAAGTGATGTTAAGACGTGCAGCATAGTCTTTGACAAGTTGGATGTTGTGGAAGATAATAACACCATAGTCATCTGAAACTCCAGTTGCAGGATCAGTATAGGTCTCTGTGTGGCCTCCCATGCGAGCTTTATTGTCAATGACCGCCACAGTCTTGCCCGCGTCGAGGAGACCAATTGCTGCATAGGTTCCAGAAGATCCACCACCAATCACGACCACATCTCTTTCGACATACTCCACGTTGTGGTATGTAACACTGTTAATAGTGACAGAGGAAGTAATGTTTGCAACCGCGGCAAAAGCTCCAAGGGAGAAATAGCTTGTGACAGCAGCCAAAAGCAATGGAGTAACTTTGAAGATAGCCATTTCAATGTTGATAATTGATTTTGACACTTGAAGGGGGATATTGAGAGGAAGTAGAGAAAGGGAAAGGTGAAGAAGAAGAAGAAGAAGATGCTGTTGAAAATTGGAATGACAATCAATGTGACGCCAGACTTTATATATCTAGGTACCAGAACAAACGCTCAGCATGATATTGAAGTGTGTCTGTGCTTTTACATGTCATCCCACTAAGGATTTTGTGTCGTTTGTCTTTCGCCGCTCATCCCAAGATCTGTCAGATACCAGATGACAAGTAGCATGGGGGTTAGTTCTATCATATCCCTCTGGATCTGATGGACCAATCAGATATCGTGCATTCCGAACCCTTGCATCAATAGAAGAATTCTGGAAGCATGTAGGACCAAGTATCCCTTTACGATCCATGATATACTCGAATGAAGGAATTTTGAGTCAGTGATTGGCGACGGGAAGGTTCGTCGCATTGACTTTTAACCGGATGTGTGGATTAGCCAGTGTTGATCCTGGGAGATCCTTCACGATTGAAAGAAGGCAAGCTTGCCCCATATCAGAATCTTTGTCAATAGCGTTCCATTACCATGTGGGCGGAAGGATTCGCATACATATTAAAGAAATCTTAAATTTTGATTGTAGAAAGATTTTGCGTTTGAATCCACGTGTGTTGGCGTCGTTATCCTGGCTCCGAGATGTTACCACTAGCGGGTCTTGCAACTTAGTGCACGCACCCGAAGTATAAAGATGAATGATTTCACCCCCATTTCTCACGCAACAAGCTAAATTCTTACTTCACTCCAGAATAAAGTCTATTTTTGGATGGTGGAGCACGCGTTAACCAGATATTTTAATTTGAACTCCATTGTTCTTCTCTTCGAACGCGTTCGGTTAATATCGATAACGTGAAGACATCTATTCCCAGCCTCTTGAACAAAGTGGGCCACCAAGAGTCATAAATGGGATATTAAGCAAATTTTGACGGCGACGCAACCTGATTGCGATCTAGATATGACTAGAAAGGCATCGTTACTTTACGAACTTGACTTCAAGTGTCGAATCTAATCCGATTCCAGCTCATTTTGTACAAACTATTGGGATTCTAAGCGCCCGGAATCTCGGGTATGGAAATCTATTGTTCGGAAGGTCTGCTTTACATCTGGCAAATGCTCGGCCGCATGTTGTTCAGTGCAATATACAACATTAACGGCGTGGATTTTATCTCCAAGGATATTTGATTTCTTTGAGAAAAGGAAAAGACTTTGTCCACAAAAGTTTGTGGGAAGTACAGTTTATACGATGAACCACAGAATAGCATTTTGCATTTGGTGTCAATGACGAAAATCGCGAGAACGGAATTTATTGAAATGGAATTTTTACTTTGATCAAAAGGATGGAGTGACATACACAATCCTTCGCCAATATTCTATACCTTCTTAGTTTGCTCTGTCTGGCCGCCTTGTACTTCTTGGACTTGTGGGGTTCCAGGCGAGCTTGCCTCCAATATCATTTTCCGTTGATCCAATTCCTCAAATATTGCCCAGTCACCGATCTGCTCATCGAAGAATTGATCCATATCCAAGCCTTGAATCTCGGCCTCCTCTGTGACCCGCAAGTGCATTCCCGGGATGAATTTCAGGATATAGAGAAGAGCGCAAGATACGAGGAATGAATACGCTGATATCGCTGTGATTTCTGCGAACTGTTTACCCACTTGAATCCCATTACCATCGATCCCACCGGGAGCTGAAGTCACTCCGTCGAGCATACTGACTGTTTCGGGGTTAGCTTGGGTATCAGGCTTTCACGGATAAAGATACATACTAGAGGATGTTGCAAATATTCCTGTCAAAAAGCTTCCCACCATTCCACCTATACCATGAAGCTTAAAGACGTCCATTCCTTCATCAATATGGAGCCATTCATTTACATTCTGCAATAGCGCGCAAACCACTGCGGTTATGAAACCAATAACTGCGGCCAGCCACACGGAAACATATCCCGCAGCAGGAGTGATCCCCACAAGTCCGGCAATGGCACCTTCACAAGCTCCCACGAGACTAAATCGGCCACCATGTTTGACATAATCGACAAGCACCCATCCAAGCATCCCGGTGCATGCAGCAGTATTGGTATTGAATCCAGCAAGCATCGCTCTGACGGAAGCATTTAGAGCACTGCCTCCATTGAACCCAAACCATCCAAACCAAATTAGGACAGTACCTAGGAATACGAGGGTAGTATTATGTGGCCTTCCATGGGACTTTTCGCCGGTGTGCTTGCGCTTTCCCAGTACAAGGGCATATGCCAATGCAGACCACCCAGATGCAATGTGAACTGGCCCGCCACCAGCAAAATCCAATGAAGGGAGCTTTTTTATTGATTAATGAATGTTGTTTACAGAAAATCCGCAACTTAGGAGAAACTCACATTATACAGCCAACCATTAGAATTCCATGTCCAACAAGCAATAGGACAATAAACAACTGTTGCCCACCAAAAACCGAATACCAAACTCGGTATAATTCTTCCTCTCTCGAAAGCACCACCAACCACAATCTGCACTGTACAGGCACAGAAAAGCAATTGATACAAACAAAACACAATTTCCGGAATCACAGCACTACCTGGTGACGGAGCAGCCATCACATTCTTGAGTCCGAAGTTCGCCATATTGCCAATGAAAGGTCCAGCCGTACGCGAATACGCAAGTGAGTATCCCCAGAACATCCATTGAAAGGTCGTCACTGCCGCCACGAGAAGCGATTGAAATAACAAGGTAAGAGCGGATTTTCTCCGTGCGAGTCCACTGTAGAGGAGTCCGATACCGGGAATGATAAGCCAGACGATGAAGCCGCAGAAAACTATATATGTGTAGTGGAATTCGAAACCGGAATATTGGGCGTTGACGTCTACGAGCTCGGGGTCACCGCCATTGGGGATGGAGGAGTTGAAGACGGGGGCACTCATGGTGCTGGGTGGGTGTGATCAATGTTAGGTTGAGTATGAAGAAGCTCCGCTACTGGTAAGTATGTTTAGGAATCGAGACTTCATATATGAAGGGTGAGGATTCCCCAAGTGTTTAGTACCCCATCCCATCTTTCATATCCCTCTAAATTCCATTCCAAGAACCCAAACTTCATCCAAGACCCTCACTCCCTTATCATCCATCCAACAAACCGCTTCCTCAGAAACCTATAGAAAACCTCGCATCAGCGGTCACTTTCTTGGCATTTTCTCCATCCCTCTTTTATCTCACCTCATCCAACCATAATAAATGTTATTCTCGTTATTCTAGATCGCCGACACTACATTCTTCCTATGCTTTACGAAATATTGATAATGATAAGCTCGGGGGTGAATGTCAGGGGTGCTGATAAGACGCTTGGCGGTCAGACGTGGGGAAATTTTTGCTGGTTTGGGGATGTAGGTGGGCCTAAGTTAGAGCTGTGATTATAGCGCGTTATACGGATATTTTTGCTCAGAACAATTTCTTTTATTTAATATATTATTATCTAATATAATAACTAATTATCTGATAAATATAGTTGTTGTTTTATATAGTATTATTATTTAATAAAAGTATAGTCTTTTTATCTTATATATTAATAAAATATTTTTAGATTTATATTCTTTATTTAATTTGTTTATTCTTTTCAAAGAAAGAAATTCAAATTGAATATTCGAATTGTTGATTATTTGATTAATTAATTATTTAAATATATTATTACTTATTTATTAATTGATTGATTAAATAATTCATTTATTGCTTGCTGTTTACTGCTTATTTAATTATTTAATTTTAAATATTAAAAGAATTATATTGATATAGTAATAAGTAAATACAAATGTATATTATAAAGCTTAAAGATTCTGATAATTGTAATAAATTTATATATATTGATCTTCTCTTTAATCATTAAGATCTCAGAGATAATTTACTTTTTTTCAAGATATCGATACTATTTTTATTACTCTCTCAAAATCAAGTTAACCATGTTCCTAGTACTCTATATTATTATTGTAGAGTAAAGACTTTAACAAGAATTGATTTTAAAACTCTATTTATATAGTTAAGATATACAACATATAATAAATCCCTATGAGGTCCTCGGAATGAAAATATTATACCTCACTTTAGTCAATATAATGTATTACTTATACAATTAACAACAGCTCATAGTCCGACTATAGCCCCTCTAGCAGTTTTACAAAATTTGAAAGAATCATTAGATTACAGAGTATTAGCTATTAAAGTAAATCAAGAAAATATTTATTATAGAAATACAGGAACAAGTAAATATAACATTATACATAATAAATTCACTCAAACTAAGTTTGTTAATATTATAATTTGTATAGCAAAAAACTTCAAGAATAAGTTTGGGGAAGAAGTAATTAAATATAATAATTTATAGACTTTTTATCTCAATAAGTTTATTTCTAATTAATATCTGTATGCTTGTAAAAGGGTTTATTAGTCTACTAATTGGAATAACTATAAAGAGAAGTATAATATTATAATTGATTTGAATAATTATTATATCTTTATAACTAAGATTTCAATAATAGGAAAGATATACAAAAGATTCATCAAACTAATACTACAGTCATATTGGAAGATCTTTAATAATTTGACAACTATATATCTGAATATAGGGAAGAATACTATAACTATACTATATGTTCGAATTCCTATAGTTGATACAAAGTTTTTAATAATTAATAAAACTAGATCTAGTTAATCAGCTGTATATCAAAGTATATATTAAAGTTCATGTTAAACAACATACAAGATAGTCGGGAGATTATTTGATTATATAGAGGATAGATTTAATATTATATCTCAGTATTTAATTAAGATTAAGATTGAGGAAGATATTTATAAGCTTATATCTAGAATATCCAGATTATCTATTAGGAATGAGATAATCGATTTTACAATTTCCAATAATAATGAACTCCCAGTGTTTATTAAAGAAAATATCAAGAAAGAAGTAATCAAGAAAAAAGTAATCAAGAAAGAAGTAATTCAGAAGTTGAAAGCAAAGTAGGATAATAGAGAGAACAAAATAAATCAATCATTTATTCAATCCAATATAAGTATTAGTCTCACATCAAGTACTAATTGAAATTCCGATTTTGAAACTCTTATTCCAAATTCAAGAAGTTCAAATCCGAGATCTTCTATATTTCAATCTCGAAATAATATACTTAGAGCTATTACTCCAATATTCTATATTCTTAATCAAATTTGTAATACCGAAAAGTATTAACGAGAGAATATATCTTCTATAAGTTCCAAAGCTTATCAATCCTCAATTCAATCATTCAAAAATGATAATAGGCCAATTATTAAACTTCGTAATAAGGGTATCAAAAAGACTAAGAATAATAATATTTTAAATTAGTAATTACAAAAAAGGATATTATAGAATATAGAATAAAGGAATAATAAATAAATGAAAATAATATTAAAAGATTGAGGGGTATAAAACTGAATAATGAATATTTCTTTATATTCAAAATAGATTATATTGATTTCTATTTAAAAATAAATCGTATTGAGTTTAGATTCTAATGAAATTTGAATTGATTTTAATATTATATTAGATATAATATTCATTATTAATTGATATTAAGAAAAAAACTTTTTTACTTTATATTATTCCTTTCTATTATCTTTAGGAATTTTAAATTCTGTTATATACTCTTATAGTATTTATACCAAATACATATCTTTATTTATAATAATAACTCTATAAGCATAAATCATATATAAATTGATTACTAATATTAATTAGTATATAGTTTATATTATAGAATTAAATTTACTATTAAATTCAGTAATTATAAATACCTCTATAACTTCTTAAAAAGCTACTAAAACACTAAATTGAATTCAAAGATCTATAATATTTTCTTTACCATACATAATCTTATATATAAAATATTAAAACAATACTTATAATATAATTAATTCTAAACATTTTTATTATTTTCGAATTTCGCAGAATATAATAACTAAATGATTATCAATAATTTACCCTAATTTTTACTCTAATCTTATAATCAACTTACTTCCTGATTAATATCAACAAGCTTTTTTGATAATACCTGCTTTTATCTTACTAATAACAAAAAGTAATCCTTTACTATCAGTAATTAGTCTGAAAGAACTCTTTCAAGGAGTTTTATCAGCAACCTTACCCTTCCAATAAATGAAAGCGATATTCCGCTTTTTGCATAAGAAACCTTTATATAAATGATTCTTCAAAATCATAATTTATTTAGAGACTTTAAAATATTAAAACAGAAATCGCCTTGAATAAATAAATTCTTAGTATCTCAATAATTATTATAAATATTGATCTATATAATAAAATTAATTCAAAAAAAGATAAATCATAAAATTATATAAAGAGGTTAGTAATTAGTTATTTATAAAAAACAAACAAATATATAAATAAATATATATATAACTATCTATTCACATATAAATTATTCTTTTATTATTTATAAATTACCTTTAATATTCTTATTATCTATATTCTTTTAAATCTAATTCGTTTTATAATATACTAAAATAAGTTCGAATTAAAAAAGAAAAGTCTTTTCAAAACTTTTACGGAATTTAAATACTAAAAAAGTACATAACAGGAAAAATATATTAGATCCTATTATATTACAAATCGAAAAAGCAAGGAATAATAATAAAAGTACTATTCAATATTATATAAAGAAATTATATTAATTATTAAAGTTTTAATAAACAGATTTATAAAATCAAATATAAATAAAGGAAATAGCTATATCTGAAATTAAAATTAAAAGATAAATAAATTATTATTATTAAGCTTCAATTTGTTATACTAATATTAATAAATAAAAAGCTCAAAAAGATACTAATTCTATAACTAAAAATCTTAGTATTAATAGTTTTAATGGAATATTTGTTTTTTAAAATAATAGAAATCCGGTATAGAATAATGAATTGTTTTTTGATAAATTAAAAGAAGATATTGAGAATGAAGTATTAGTAGTAAAAGTAGATATATTGAATAACTATAAATTATTTGCTTAAATAAAAGATGAGATTCAAAATTTAAAGAAATCCCAAAATCTTAATTTAAAGCCTTTAATTTGCATTATATTTCAATTATAGTAATATTATTAGCTTTAAGTCTATTGCTTATTAAGAATAAAACTCAGAAGACTTGAATTAAAAGGAATTAAAGAGATAAAAAGCTTTTTAGATTTTAATATTTTCAATTTAGAGATCTTATATTCAAAGAATATATTGAAAACCAGGTATTAAAATCACTATATTTTTATTCTAATCTTTATTCTAATTTTTTATTCTGATATATAAATAGATCTATTTATTAATTTATATATCTATATATATATTTCATATACTCAGAATATAATCTATAGAATAATTTGATGTCTTAGTATTCAGAGTTATTATATATTCATTTGTTCTTGAATATAGAATAAATTAAACTTTCAGGGCTAGTTGAATAGTAGAAAGGATACAATAAGTTTTCTAAAGGGTTTAATATTCTAAGTAATTCTATGTTATATTATAAGACTTGGGAGTTGATGATAATGAAAGAAGAAGATATTGAGAGAAATAATCTTGATTTATTATGATTTGCTATTAAAGGTATAGAATTAAAGATCTAAAAGTTTAGGTATGAATCTCCTTTTATTATATATTTTATATTAATCTAATTAATAAATATATTCTAGTAATACAATAAAACCATCTATTACTTAAGAGTATTCCTATCCCCATCTCCAAAATCCCAGAATTCTTGATCTAATCTTATATCCTCTTCCTCTTTTTTATTTTTAACTATATTTTTATTAAAATAAGCTCTATCTATTATACCATTAGAATTCATATCAAATTCTTACCACCTTTTTCCTATAAAATACTTTATTAATTCTATATCCTCAAATTTAGTTATATACTATTTTATTTTCAAATATATACCTTTATTACTATCCAATTCTTTTAAAAATACTTTATCTATTAAAGCTTTTTATTTAAATCTATTACAAAAATATAGATAAACTTCTTTATAAACTCCATCTCTCTCGAATTTCATTTCTATTATTATATCCTTATTATATCCATATTCTATATAGATATTCTAATAAAGAATTATTATCTCTTTAAGAAAATAAATATCAATATCAATTTCAAGCTTTACCACAATTCTCTTAAATTATTATAATATTGACTTATATATAGATTGTTTTTACTCCTCCACTGAATATTTTGACTATAAGTATAATTGATATAGTTTGCTAATAGAAAAATAATATCCTCTATACTACTATTTGCGAATAAATCGAACATTATAAGTTTCGATATAAATATCAACACAAGAATATATCATTAGCATATAGATATATTTAAAAGTGATTCTATTAGTAAGAATATCTTCGAATCGATAAACATCAAAAAGAATCTCAAAGAATTCTCGAAACTTATTCAAACAATACATAGCTAGAATATATTATTACCTTTCAATTCGAATATTTCTTATAAATATTCCTCAAGAATAACAATATTAAAACTTTTAAGAAATATAATTATTATAAACTTTCATTCCACCCTACTCCAATACTTTTTCTTTTTCAACTATTTGTCTTAACAGAACCTAAGCTTAAGCTATAAGTAATATTTCAATTCCTTTATTTCCTCGAATCAATTACAGTGTGTATTTCAGATTCCTTCAAAGTTAAACAAACTATGCAAATACAGATAAAGCAGTTTTATTATCGGTTTTTATATATTGTTAAAGAACAAATCAATTAAAACTATTCAGAATATATATTAGTTCAATTTCATTATTATATCAATATACTTTATATATACATATCTATTACTCTATAACTATAAATTCCCTAGTGTTTTAGTTTATTATATTTATTAATGGATTATACTTTATTAGGACTAAGAATCAGTATCTTGCCTTTTCTATACTTATATAGAAACTATTGATTAATTATATCTTTATAATCCTCGTTTTTCATAAACTTTTGAAGTTTATATTAAAATATTAATACTCTATTACATTATAAACAGGCAAGTATATGAGAAACTCCAAATCTAGCACCTCTACTTTTTATAATATTCCTTATAACTTCCTTTCAAGCTTTCTCTTCTACTGATAAGATATTATCTTTAACTACATATATTATTCCATGCTTTAAACATAATTCTTTTAAAGCTCTAGCCTTTATAAGAGTTTCTTAATTGTAATTAAGAAAATAAAGAATCTCTGAATATGTTGAGTTTTGAATCTATTCATTCTTCACAAACTTTAGGATTTCGGGATTATCAAAAACATTATATTTAGGTAATTTTTACTCTCTAATATAGCGATCAACAAAAAAACAACTAATTCTATAAATAAAATCATGTATAGCAATTAAATCTTGAGTAATTAGTTCTACTAAGTATTCCAACTGATAACCTTTTAGAATTTTATTATAATATAGTATAAAATCGAATTTTGAAGATAGCATATTAAAAAAGAATAAAATACAATTAGAAAGGAGATATAATGATTAAATCTAAAGCTTTTATATTTCTAGAATAATTAGTTACTTATAATAATAAGTATTATATTACATTATAAAATAAGTAATATAAGAATAATTTATTTCTCTATAAATTAATCAATAAATCAATTAATAAATCAATTAATAAATCAATCAATAAATCAAATCCAAATTAATATTGAAGAAAATAAAGTAAGCATTCAGATTAATATTTGATAAAAGATTATACTGTACTATCAGACAAAAAAGGTATTTATATAGAACAAAAATATTTATTAGACAATATAATTAATCTGATTATTATCATCCAATATCGTTCTGAGCAAAAATGTCCGCATGACGCGCCATATGTGATGGAAGTCTATATCTTTCAGATTGAATATATATATATATATCAGTAACTTCGGGGAGTGATATCGTTTTGGTTTTTGAGCCGGTAAAGATGATGGTATGCTTATGTAGTGTCATTAGCCATTGACCGAAATGCCAAAACGAATGGTGAGCCAATTATCGCTGGTAATTCCTTCAAGAATGTTAATGTGATAGAGAATATGGCTCCAGTTTCATGTGATGATCAAATGCTTTCAACATAGAGGCAATGACAAATCACCTCATTCGTTCGCGACATGCGATGGATAATTCCTGTTAAATAGATAAGTATCAAATAACAATGGTTATCTCAAATAACAAATTTGTCATATATTTCTAGGCGACGGCCCATTTAAAGAAAAAACATTGGTATCATATCAAATCCGCAGACTGCCCAAACCCTTAACCGAAAGAGATATTTCTCATCTCAAAGGCCCATGCTGACCCTCCCCTGCGTTCTTGACCCCCTTTGCTACACGTGCAGCTCCACCTTCAATGCCCTCTCCTATATCTTTAATCCCATCGCCTACGGGTTTACCTAATACATATTTGTTAGCTTATGTTCGTCTTTCTCTCCTGATCTCCTTATAATGTCTTTATTTCGGTTCCCCTTATTCGGAAGAATGGGAGAGGAGACTAAAAAGCATGAAAACAAGAGAAGAACTTGTGAATTGCGAGGAAAGGCAAAAGGATGACAAACCTGCATTTCCGGTAACTCCATTTACAGTTTCTCCCAATCCTCGTCCAACAGCTCCAACTACACCCCCTACTGTGTTTGTGACGCCTGAGACACCATTGCTGTTGAGTTGTGTTAGTCTAGATTCCGTTCCATGGGCGAGACGTTTTGAAGCATTGGGTCTATAAATGAGGGTATGGCTTGGAAGAGCAGAAAAGCCAAATGTGATGTGAGTGCAAGAGAGAAGAGAGGAATGAATGGGAGAAAGGTGGGAAGAAGGAAATAGACAACATACCCAACAGTACTTGTAACCCAGGTAACACCACCCGAAACTCCTGATTTATCGTTGATAGGCATATTGTTTCCTTGTCTGCTGATTTATTTTGTTGGTGATTAAATAGACTGTTTGATTTAAGATTGTAGTTTTCGATATTAAAATAAATTGATTTTCGCTCTCTGGATGCACATGCATTTATACACACATTCAGAGGCGACAGGAATGATGAATCTAAGATCTGACGTCACAATATCGCAGGGGTCAAAACCAGATCTTCGGTTCCAGACAGGGATTTGGTTGGCCTCGTAAAGGTCATCAGGAACCATAGCCACGCTGGTGGTTTGGTTTGGTATGTTGTCAGATCTGACCAATGAGATGATACGGGGTAGAATGGAAGAATGAAGGTTCGAAGAAACTCGGCTAATAGATTTGCGGAATATGTATCTACCTACCTACCTATACTAGACAAGACTCCGAACCTGCTTGGTATCATAAAGCTATAAATTTGAAGACAACAATCCAGACCTCCAAAACTCTACAGTCTAGACTCCTGTCCTATGGAGAGATGATTTCTCAAAGTTCTTGTAACACCACGGCTGATCGTCACAACTTGCCTCTTTGTTATTCCTTGCATCATCTAGACATCGAGGCTCTGCTGTTGATGCCGGCCACTTTTTACCATAAGAAAAGCATGTTTCCACTGGGTTGATCTCCCAGATCTTTGCAATCTACTTTTCTAGGACTGCACTGGCATATCCCTTGGATCGAACATTGTCTGGAAATCCTCCTTCCGCTAGTCGTGGAGGATGTTTATTTACCACATTTGTCAGTTCACACCTCGCGGATCGTTTGTGAAGTCTCTAGCGACAGCCCTCAATCCTGTATTTGCTTCTTCAACAATGCAAAATGTTCAGTCTTAGACTTCTTGAGTAGACTGAAGATCTCGAAGATTAGGCAGCGAGCCTGGACCAAAGAGCATATTGCTCTTTGAAGAAATATGGATATTTAAACTTCAATTTGCACTGATTTTTGGAGAAGATGACCTTACAAAGCGATCAGATGCTCGAAATGAATCTGTTGTATGAAACTGGTTTGAAAATTAAAAAAGTTCATGAACTACAGACCACCAAGCTAGAAATACCGATAATTACCCGACATCAGCCATGACACCAAGCAACTCTGAAGGTCAACGTATAACATCTCATTGACCCTTGTAATCTCTTATCGATGCTATCAATAAGGCCAGCTTGGTATCTTTTTCAATGTTCTTTGTAAATCTAACACAATACATAGAAATTAACGTTCCTTTGTATTGAGCAATACGTTGATTTGTTTTGCAATTCTATTCTTACCAGATATTCCCCGACTACATACGCATGGTTTCTTGTAGTTTATATATTTCAATTCGTGTAGAGAAAATATCCATCTAGCTCCTTGTGAGCGCATATCTGGCGCAAAGATGTGGCTACCTTTTACCTTTTTATTCTTGTGCATACTGCAATTGGCAGCTTGCGCAGAAGACTTTTACCAAGTATGTTCTTTTTCCGTAGCTTCTAGAAGCTGTGCAAGTTTGGGGATTCAAAGGCTAGAACAAATGCTAATTGTGTAATAGCTTCTTGGTATAGACAAGCAAGCTTCAGAAAGAGATATCAAGCGCGCATATAGGACTTTGAGCAAGAAGTATCACCCGGATAAGAACCCGTATGTGTCACCTCTCGATTTAAGCTAGAATCACTACTGATGTGATACGCAGAGGAGACGAAACAGCCAAACAAAAGTTTGTTGAAATCGCCGAAGCTTACGAAGCCCTCTCCGTCCCAGAAACCCGCAAAATATACGATCAATATGGACACGAAGGACTAAAACAAAGACAACAAGGAGGACAAGGCGGAGGTCACCACGATCCATTTGATCTTTTCTCCAGATTCTTCGGTGGAGGAGGACATTTCGGCGGCGGCCATGGACAACGAAAAGGACCCGATATGGAAGTGCGAGTAGGAATACCCCTTCGCGATTTCTACAATGGACATACCACCGAATTTCAACTCGAGAAACAAATGATATGTGAGGAATGTGAAGGATCTGGATCTGCCGACGGTCAAGTCGATACATGTAATGTATGCCACGGCCATGGAGTCCAATTAAAGAAACATCAACTCGCGCCTGGAATCTTCCAACAAGTACAGGTAAAATGTGATCACTGTGACGGCAAAGGACAAACGATCAAACACAAATGTCCCGTCTGTTCCGGTTCTCGCGTCATTCGTAAAGTCCAGACGCACTCACTAGTCATCGAGCGCGGAGCCCCCAAGGGCCGAACAATAAACTATGAAAACGAAGCCGACGAATCTCCCGACTGGGTTGCTGGTGATCTCCACGTTACTTTAGTTGAGAAGGAAGCGAATCTCGAAGAAGACAACGAATTAAAGGTTGACGGGACATTCTTCCGTCGTAAGGGCGATGATCTTCATTGGCGCGAAATGCTCTCATTGAGAGAAGCATGGATGGGATCATGGACACGAAATCTTACACACTTAGACGGACACATCGTGCAACTTTCTCGCGAAAGAGGACAAACTGTTCAACCAGGTCATGTGGAACATGTGAAAGGAGAAGGAATGCCAAAATGGCACGAGGATGGAGATAGTGTTTATCATGATACGCAATTCGGAGATTTGGTTGTAGAGTACACAGTCGTATTGCCGGATCAAATGGATAAGGGAATGGAGAAGGATTTCTGGGCTCTGTGGGAAAAGTGGAGGAAGAAGAATGGAGTCGATTTGGCAAAAGACAGTGGAAGGCCCGAGACGCCAGTTGCGGGAGGAAAGGATGAACTATAATACATATATGTATGAACCGGGAAGAGAACAGGGTGTCGGAATTGGAGTTGGAGGAGTCCAGGTGGCCATCAAACAAAGGTTTCGGGAGTGGAAACTGAGCGAGTGATGCAATGGGAATGGAATTATGTATGAATAGCCCAGCGATAAAGAAGCGAAATTTAGAAGTTCTTTTTGATGTTTTATCATTCGTTATCTTTTGATCATCACATCGCATCACATCACATCATGTCCATGTTGAGAAGAAGGAGCGGAAAGTTTATACATCAATCAAATATGCGCTCTCATAGATTCATATTAAGAGGAGACCTACACACAAAATAGAAGTACATGTCAACAATCGAGGAAAGTTTAACGAAACCATTTATCATCCCATCGTAATGTACGGTGACGGACATGCAGCCAACCTGACTATCTGCCTGTTCGTTTGTCGACCAAGAGTAGAGAATGGCTTCAAGGAAAAAAGACACAAAAGAATAGCAAAGAAGCAAGGGGAAAAGAAGGAAAAGGGGTATCGTTCATATCCGATCTCAAAATATCCAGTCCTATCGTCTCATTATCACTTCCTCCCATTTCCCATTTCACAAGTCCAACGATATCCCAATTCTCTTAAAATCGATAATCACGAGGAAATCGCATCAAAACTCGGAGCAGAGCTAAGCGCGCAGAAATTAGATGCGCGATGGATCGGCACGCGATCGATACCACCTCTTGCGTGCACCGCCGAGACCATTGCTTTGTTGACCATTGGCCGGTTGGTCGGTGACGATTGTGTGGCGGTTGCGGTGGTGGACGTATGTCCCCTTTTTGATGATGTGTTAGTAATGGGTTGGAGGGGAGAGATAGATTCATGGAGTGTGTGGCTAAGATTGTTGAATGAGGGGGGTAGAGCGGGGGAAGGGAAAAGTACGTGGAGAAGAGAGAGGAGAGAACTTACGAGGAGAAAAGAGCCGAGGAAGAACAATGAAGCTAGGAATGTAAAAGCGACATCTGATTTCCATCTCGCACAAGCGGAGGAACCGAAGATGCCATACCAGTTAAATATACTGCCGCAGTCGAGGGGTGTGATGAACTACAATTATCCGTTGGGATTAGTCAAGTGCAGCTACATTACGCATTTTCTGTCGCCGTGGGGAATGATATTGGGAAGGGGGAAGGAGGTAAGAAGAAGGTCGAAAGAAGGGAAGATATAACATACATCCACAAGTAAACCAAAAGCAATCATATACATAACAAACATCAAAAAGTCGATCGGCCAATGAATGAAGTTCCAAGTGAACGGCAACATGAAGAATAAGGAGAAGAATAGACCTAAAGCAGCAACGACATCGGTGTAGATGAATCGTTTCTTAGACCATGATGGTTCGGCTCTGGCTGAGTGAAGATGTGAACTAGTAAGACCGACGACGATGGTACTGAAAGCAAATTGGCCCACGCGAAGGACCAAGGCTAAAATATCGGTCCCGTGCATTTTTGCAATGTTTAGGGCTCTTTCCTTCGCTTTTGTGTATGTATTGATAGTTGAGTTAAGTTATCGTGAGTAAAAGCCGCTTGACTGTGGGATTGAAGGAGAAAAGAAGTGAGGGGATGATATAATATCTAGATTTATATCTCCGCACACATCACACCACTTCGGCAGCCAGAAGCAAAGAAAACCAGGTCAACTTACTCGTAACATGCAGTCGACCGAGACGCACTTACGCCATAGCCATGTTTATGTCCAATCCCATCTCTATTTTCAAGGATTTCCTTGAAACCCGGATTAAGTTCTCCGCCCAGTATGTCACTTTTCTATGCCCTGGAACGCTCTTATGCGAACGCAGGAGTAGCAGATACATATTTGAAATCAAGGAACTAGAGATTTCATGGCCATAGATGGAGTGCTGATCCATTAGCAGCAGTTTTTGAAGTACCGAAACAGCAGACATGGGTATCTGCGGGGGATTTTCCTGGATATACGGTTGTGGCGTCTTAGAAAAGCTACATGAGATAAAACGGGACGGGTTCTTTACTCCGGATGCTAATTTATGTGATTGCCATGTAGGAAATTGAAATAAGGTATAGTTGACAACGCACGATGATCAGTGTGTATGCCAGAAAGACTTATTCGCTGTTTGGATACATTGGTAGCTCCGTAAGCCAAGAAACATTCTAAAAATGTATTGGTGATGACTGTCAAACCACATTCGATCCAAATCTGGAAACTTGATAGCGAGGAAAATACCCCATAAGTTATGTAGAATTCGAACAATAGGAGAGAAGATGAGGTGCGATGTAAAAGAAAAGGAAAATTTAGCTACCAAGCAGGCAATGAGCTCGATACATCGTGTGCCAAATCTATCGATCTTTGAACCCAACGACTAAATGATCCCTCAGGTCACAAAAATCTATTTAATTCCTCAAAATTGCGTTTTCAATATGGCAGAAAGTTGTTGGGAAGTTGGCAGTATTGCATGATCGTGGTTAATCTCGTCCAGTAGAACGAGTTTGCTTGACGCGTGGCTGCAGTTGTGGCTGATGATTACCGAAAATTGCTTTCTTGTGCAATCGTATATTGACTGATTGCTAATAATCCATCCTTGAAAAATGCGGAAACTTCACTGAATATGAAGATATGTGGCGCATTGGATGTCTTTGTTCTTCGATCAAATGCGCCAGGCGTAGTGGATTGAATAGTTGAGACTCTTTCAGTGGATATTGATGACGAGAAGTTACCAAATTATCGTTTGTCTGTTGAGGAGAGTTCCGACGAAGCGTATGTATAGACTCAAAGCTTTACACTTTCTTGGGTATTGTAATGTCAGTTCTGTCGTGGAAATAAATGTGTGGTCGACATCTACTCCTGGTCCATTCACCGTTCTCGCTTCTGATGAATCAGCGGCTTGCAGCAACCTATACCACATAAACAGTCTTGAATAGGAACGCCAATTTAACCAAATTCTTCCAAGATTGTCTCTTCTATTTGTATGTCAATTCACGATGGGTGCTACAGGAAACTTCAAAATTACAATTCCGATTTCCGAGGATTCGGAGATTCCTCCAACCGAAGAAACCCAACTGATTCCTGCATCATGTGCGCAGTTTCCAGGATCCTTCGCTCCGGATTTAAGAGAAGATAAACGAAGAGTATCAAAACGTAGCGGATTCAGTGATCGGATTTATATATTCTTCACGGATGGATGGGGTGATGTAACGGTTTGGAAAAGTGCTGTATGTCGCTCCCATGAACCTTTCCTTGTCCTACTACTGAGTCTCCTTTTCCATAGTTTATAGAATTCGTGGGAACAACATGCCTATGCTACCTGTCTGCTTTTATCAGTATTGCAATTCGAAATTCTGACACTACACAAATAGCGGCGTATGTTGGCGTTACCAATATTTTTCTTTTGACACTATTCATATGTGCGCTCGCTCCAGCTTCTGGTGGTCATATGAACCCAATCATCACTTTTGCGACGGTAATCACTGGACTTACCGGATTTCCAAGAGGAATGTTGTATATGATAGGACAGACCACCGGAGCAGCACTTGCGGGTGGCTTGATCAGAGGAAGCTTAGGAGATCAGAGAACTTTAATGTGAGTTGACTCCCATTATCTGGATTCGAGACACAAGACACCAAGTAGTGATGGACTTGCAAAGGGTTGTCAAGGTCAAGAAGCTCTTCTATGAAAAGGTGCGTTTAGTAGTAAGTTAACAGGTGAAAGTTACAATGGAGGAGGATGTTTCCTTGAAACAACAAGCGTTAGCGAAGGGCAGGCTTACCTGATCGAGTCAATTTTGTCATGTATCATGCTGTAAGTCTCAGAATCTTCTTGTCTCGCCTTGATCTGACGACATAGGATTTTATCGTTTGGTACTGCTCTTGATCCCCGACAGGCGCAACTCTTTGGGCCACGCCTAGGTCCATTCATGGTTGGCTGTACATTAGGCCTTGTGTCATTTTCTAGTATTAATCTTGCACCTGGATACCCGGGAGCGGGATTGAATCCAGCGAGATGCTTTGCCTTTGCAGTTGCGAGAGGCAACTTTGCTTGTGAGTGTAGCTTCTTCTCCGTAAGCTTAAATCGCTGCTAATAGAAACTTCAAGATCAATGGATTTGGTGGTTCGGTCCGGTCACTGGAGCTATAATCCAAAGCTCGGTCTATCATTTTGCCCCACCATATCATAGAGAAAGGGTAGATAGAAGGCATTCAACATGATGTACAAAGAATCCGAGAATATCTTCTTCGATACACATTATTCGGGTTATGAATTGTGGACTATCGCCGAGAGCAAAGACTTGTGTAGAAAAGGTATGGCCAGGACAAACAATGGTGCAAATGGGGAAGATCTCCTGAGGGCCAAATGTGGGATCTCATATATTAGATGAGGAAATCGTAGAATATATCAAGACAAATCTTCAAAACTTCAAAACTTGATGCCCGGATCGAACCTTCGCATGACCAATCAAAGTGACCTACTTTGAAAGTTGATTGATGAAGTCTCCTTCAGGAATCAGAAATAGAACTCAAACCAGCAAACTCGTGAAAGGGTGGGTGTGAAGAACGAGAGTACTCATGGAATGGCAATGCTTGAAGGAACAAGAAATGATTCGAATGAAAAACTTTTGGGGAGGTCAAAGTCTTCCAAATTTGGCCGAACATCGAGGACGATGATAACGAGACGATTATATTCAAATTATTCAAATTATACCAGAGTTTAAGAACACAAGTTTGATAATTTGCAGAAGTATGAAAATATTAGAAGTTGGACTACAATAATGAGGGGAAGCAACATTTGACATATCCCACTCATACCGAAATATACCCATGTCATGCTCAAATCTACCACCGAATCTATCGGCCAATTAAACAATGGACGATACCAATACGGCGACCATCCGAGAACTAAAATCAATCAACATCATAGATAAATATCTCCTCAAGTAACAATTCGCCATTGCGCCACATCACCGCGACAATGGCCTCCAAAATAACACCCTTCGTTTTCCGATCAGCATTCAGACCAGCAAGAATAGCTTCAAGATCACAATGTCGGTCATTTGTTGCCGGTAGCAGATTATCCAGCGATTCCCTCATGGTTGTATGTCTTCCTCATGGAGCTCCGATCATACCGTCTAGCTACTGACATGAAGTCTCACAGCATCGCGATACACCCGACAATAATGCCTCTATTCCTTTTAAATTCACACCTCAAAATGAGAAGATTATCGAAGAGATTCTCAAGAAATACCCCCCACAATACAAAAAGGCAGCCGTTATGCCGATTCTCGACCTTGGACAACGTCAACATGGTTTTACCAGTTTGAGTGTTATGAACGAAGTTGCTAGATTATTGGAAATGCCTCCTATGAGAGTTTATGAAGTGGCTACCTTTTATACCATGTATAACAGAACTCCAGTGGGCAAATTCCATGTGCAAGCCTGTACTACGGTATGTTTTCTCTAAGTTGGTGGAGGAATTCGCCTTCTTAACAAGTACTAATGTGTTTCTCCGATAAATAGACTCCTTGTCAATTGGGTGGATGTGGAAGTGATGCAATCGTCAAGGCAATCGAAGGGCACCTTGGTATCAAGCCTGGCCACACCACAAAGGACGGATTATTTACCTTTGTCGAAGTCGAATGTCTAGGCGCATGTGTAAATGCCCCAATGGTTCAAATCAACGACGATTTCTACGAAGATTTGACACCCGAGTCAACCGTCACATTACTCAAGGCACTTCAATCCAGCGCCTCGGAAATTGCCAATTCGGAAGCTGGAAAAGGCGCCATTACAGGCGAAGATGGCAATGTCAAGTCTGGATCTGAAGTTGGAGAGGACGCAGGAAGAATTTATAACAAGGGAGGTGTTAAGGTACCAAGTCCAGGACCAATGAGTGGAAGGAAGACTTGTGAGAATATCAAGGGTTTGACGAATTTGACGAGTGAGCCATGGAGTAAGGAGGTTTTCAAGCCAGAATGGCAATAGGGTTTTGCACTTTGGGCATTTGTGGTGGAGTGTGGGTTGAAAATAGAGGATACAGTTTTCAGATGAGGATTCGTATGTATATATCCTTGTATCATCAAATTTTTGCATTGATATGGTTTTCCATGATCGCTAGTGATGAAGGACAAATTTCTAAAAATTCTTATATTTATCCCAAGACACTCAACATAATTCTCACGAAAAAGTTGATTGACTTCCTTCACCCCTCAGTCTAAGAATTTTCATCTTGTAGTCCCAGGCCTTTCTTTATCTCTCCAATCGCATGCCCTCGTTCCCTCCCACAACCCTGCTTTCCTCGATTTCTGGTGATCAGTCTTACTCCTTTTCCTCCCACTTCTAGAACTCTTACTTCTGGCATAGTCTCTCTTGCTATATATCCCTACAAGGTTTTCAATCGCCCGAACAACCATGCATGATAAATCTCAATACATTGTTACAACATAAAAGAGAACATTGTGAAGATTAAAATGAGAGTGATGGGCATGTATGAGATGGGGTAGCTGTTGAGTGGGGTGTCTGGAGAGGGATGGTGATATCATGAATTTGTGGAGTAGGTAGTTAGTATTGTATGTTTTGGTGGTAATATCGAGATTTATATGTCACCTGAGTAATATTGGAGGTTCGTGGCTTAATGCACATCATTGGTAGCCAGTTCACATCTGATTCATGGCTAGTCTTTATGCAATACATTTCATTCCACGTAGGCCAGCGAAACGACGTTGCACTCCGGAGGCCAGTAAAGTAGAGGCGGGTAGGAAAGTCGAGGGTAGAACGAAAGGGTTGAGAGCGCGAAGATTCAGAACTCGAGCGAAAATTTAGTAGAAATGTGACGAGAACATGAAACGGAAAAGAGAGTGATTGATGATTGGGAAAGTATCAGAGCCGAATGAAGGCTTTGAAGGATAGGCTCTGAGAGTGAATGGACGACGAAAAGTTGGAGAAAATCTGACTGGAATATAAAAATCAAAAATACAAGATTAGCACTTAAAATGATACTGACAGTAAAAATGAAACGAGTATTGGCAATTGAGACTTCGTTCCAAGAATGATATCGCCATGGGCATGCTCGACTGTATCAGACATGGTGTATATTTCAAACTTAAATGAATGAATACTACAGACGACCAGATGTGCATGGTACTTACGAATCTCTTGCACTAAACATTTGACACCTTCCATATTAAAACTCGCTGGAGTATTATCTGACACGTCAATATAATCTCCAGTATCAACCTAGCTGACATATTCTACAGATATCTAGAAATCCCTCATAGATTACCAACAATTCCAATTCCATAGGATTCCATACCATCAGTAATTCCACAAATGATAACCAACGGATCGATATGGGGTGTAGCAAGCGGATAGAGCCACGGACACCCAGCACTTCTGACACATTGTTGCTCTCTTTTCCACTGATGGGAGCACTGCGAAATTTGCGTAGAAATCCATGAAGCGACGATGAAGATATTTCGGATATCAGGAGGCCCAAAAATTGAAAGTATACCACAGTAACAATATGAAACATGAAGCATAAGTACTTTGAATCAAAGAAATGATTCGAAGATCCATCAGAAGTCCCCTAGGAAAGTGGTAACCTAGTAGCTCTGTGCTGAGCGCTTGTTCTGAACTACAGAAACATGGTGGAACCGAAACCTTCCAAACACACATTCTCAGATATATCAAGATACTTATATTGGGTCCGATGATACTTCATAACACCCTCCGGGACGTGATCGAACATCAATGAATGTGTCGTCTGTGAGATGTTTGGATATAAAAACAAAGTTGGATGTCGTTGTCAAAGGGGTGGATTTATGAAGGTGGGACTATCACATCGGACCTAGACACCTCGACTGACCAATCAAGCATCCACTCTCTGATATCACCCATCCTTCATCTGCACTTTTTCCACCTACCCCATGAAGCTGACGAGTATTTGGGCAATATAAAGAAGCTGGATTTCCCACCCACCAATTTCCTCGTATTTGTATTCATTATTTCTGCTTTACCCCACTTCCCTTTCTCTATTTTCCCGCTCACGATGAATACCAAGGAATATATCATAGATGTGCTTCAACACCTTTACTTTCCTGTTCAGTTCATGTTTGCCTCTGCTACATTCATACCCGGCACCATTGTTTCCCTTCTCGCCTCTTCCAATATCGCCACTTTAAGTTCCGTCGACAAGTTCAAAGATGCATGGTTTGCACGGTTCTGGGCCGTTTATGGACCTCGTGTTAGAGAGTCTGCAAGTACAAATGCAGAGCCTATGATTAAAGCCGCTAGAGGTGTTGTACTAGACATTGGTCCTGGTAGTGGCGAGGTATGTTTGTCTAATATCTTGATATTGATCAAAGTAAGGCGGAGGTAAAAGTCTCAGTGGCTAATAGATGCTAGTGGTTACATGTTTTTGATAAATCAAAGATCACAAAGATTTATGGTATAGAACCAAATCGTGATCATTATGAAGCTTTGAGAAGGAGAATTAAGGAGGCAGGTCTCACTGATATCTACGAGATTGCCGAATGTGGAGTTGAGGGGTTGACGGAATGGGGCATTGAAGATGACAGTGTGGATTCTGTCGTCACCATTTTGTGTTTATGTAGTGTTGGACAACCCGAGGAAATGATTAAGGATTTGTATAAGAAGTTGAGAAAGGGGGGTATCTGGGCAGTTTATGAACATGTGATTAAGGATCAGGGACACTGGACTGACAAGTATCAATGTAAGTTCTAATCTACGGGAATGAGCCGAGCAAAACTAATTCGTACTCAGCTTTGATCAATGTCGCTTGGCCTCATTTCTTGGGCGGTTGTTCCCTCAAGAGGGATACGGAGAAGTCTTTGAGGGGAGTTGGAAAATGGAGTAGGATTGACTTGACGCATCCTGCTACTGAGGCTCCTTATGCTATCGTTCCACATGTTATGGGAACGCTGGAGAAATGATTATTATGCTTTCCAAGTATACTCCACGAGGCAGCCTTTGTGAGGGTTGAAATCTATGGCCATCTTCTTTAGAGGATGTAGATGAGGAATGCATGCTATCTTATGAGGGAGATTGTGGCGATTAAGAAGAGTGTGGAATCATTGCGTAGTTGTTCAGGCGAGGTTACAAAGCTTCTTTTGAGAGAAGAAGAATCGGTCTTCTGTTGTTATTGTGTTGGATGTCTAAACTCATCATTGTTTTACAACACTTCTTAAAACGCAGTGAAGCAGTCCATATTTCATGGAGATATGGAGAACAACCACAGCTATCACAATCATCCAAAAAAAAACAGCCCATCCTGCTGCTGTTGGGTTAGTTTTTGGCTCCAAACACAGAGTTGAGAGTTATGAAGTTCTTGGTTGGACTGCAATGCCGAAATCTTAAAGATCTCATTTGCGCATCCGAATTGATGTTTTGAGACCTTTTTAGACTGATATAAATAGAAATTTGAGGAATTTGAAACCACACACTCTCCAATCCCCTCGAAGAGAAACAGAAATATGACTTCATACGAGAGAAGATGAAAATCAAATCCATTTGAAATATATGTTTGAACCGACACCTTGTTGAGATTCTTGTGTCGAGGTTAGAATATGTCAGGCCTGAGGCATTCACAAATTTCCGCGAACTTCAAGCTCTCATCACAAAACTTCTTCATTAATCATTTATAATTCTTTGGAAAAATTTAATCTATATTTCCTCGCAAATCTACGAGCGCCTTACCAGATGCCTCTGCTTCTAATCATCCATCGAACATTACACCCATACCATAGACCCTGATGGCTGATCAACATGGCTCTGCTTCTACAGCAGACGCCCCACCTCAAAATCCATATTCAATGCCTATGAGCATTAATGTTGCAGACATTGTAGAGGAAGAAGAAGAAGAAGATGAGGATGAGTACGAATACGAATATTCTACTACAGAAAAAGAGGCAATTATTCTCAAAAGCTCTTATTTATTATCAATTCTAATATGTGCAATAGATATTCTATGTAACTCTCGATTTAACAAATCCAAATGTTCCCATCAAAAGAAAGTTGGTGAAAACGCACCCTCGTCGCAATGCTAAGAAATGGTTAAATCCTGGTCTTGGAAAACATCGAAGACATCTCGGAGACTCGACGACCATCGTAACTGATAAGGACAAATCTGTGAAAGCTAAAGGCAAGGGGAAAGGAAGAGGGAAGAAATCACCCAATGGCGAGGACGATGAAGATGATGATGAAATGGCAGAACGTGAAGAAGAAGAAATTTCAGACGATGAAGCTGCACCACCTGAGCAAGTGCCGACAGAACAGAAACCCGTCGAAGCTCCCAAGAAATCCACTGGAGAACAATACTCGACTTTCATCGCAGATACCCAACGTGGAGGAGAAGCTCCAGCGGTGCCAAAACCAGAAGTGCAGATATTAGGGTTGCATGAAGATCACCCAGTTGTATCTTATGAGGGAAACATATATCACTGTCGATGGGAAGAAAATATGGGCACAGAGTTACTTTTCACAGCACACGATCCCTCGAGTAAATTACCTATTTTACAGTCCGTGTCAAACGATGTCGATTTACTAGCTGCGAGTACAGCGCGCATAACTTCCGTCAACACCAAAGTCGAAGACAAAGATCCGGATTCTGGCGGGAAGGGTCGCAGTTACTTTTGGAGATCGGGTAACATTCGTGAGCTCAAGATACCGGTTGGTGTAGCAGCTTCTGAGCAGCGGAAAAATCAAGCATTCTTTTTGCAATCCTTGATTCAAATTAAAGAATCGAGGCGTGAAAGGGATCATGTTACAGTAATGGCTCAAAGAAGAAATACCAATCGGCAATGGAGAGCAGTCATGAAACAAAAACAAGCAGCCGAAGTAGCACGAATTCGAAAAGCTATGGCAACAGGAAAAATGAGGAAAGCGGATGGACAGCAAAGATTAGATCAGATGGCTAAGGATGCTGAGATTTTGGCCGCGGAAGATAAGTTGAGAGGCATTGGACCTGATGGGAGGAAGATAAGACATGGTGGTAGGAAGAAAACTGTAAATGCGGAAAATCAACCGATTCTTCGAAGACCTCCTGGCGGACTCACGAATTACCTGATGAATAACGCTGCTGCAGAGGATGACGATGATGAAGAAGTGGATATGGGTCTTGACAGGCCCCCTCCTAAGACTAGGAATACACGGTCATATGCCAATGCAGAAGATGAAGATTTGGAAGCAGAGGATGATGGAGAGATGGAGTATGGAGAAGAATATGAACAAGGAGAAGACGGGGAAATGGTTCTCGAAGATGAAGCTGGTTTTGAGGAAGATTATGAAATGGAATAGTTGAGGAGGTCAGCTATAGTTTGAGTTGTATGTCAATATTAATCGATTGAATTTAGAGTACAACTGCCCGTTTTTAACTTCCTTCCCAGTGCGCCTTTCCGAACAACTTTCCTCCGTTTTCCTAATGTGCACTCAGCGGTGTCAGTACTAAGCATCCTTCAACTTTCAATCTGTCTTCCGCCAAACTCTCCTGATTCTCTACGAGCCGTGCAATCGCAACCTCGTGAGGTCTGCATTCCTCCTGTAATCTAACAAGTTGCCGTCTCCTATCAAAGCGTCAGGTAGACATCCATAACATCTGATATGTATCTAACAAAAAAGGAATACCAAAGATCGGGTGAAGATAGGAATTGGCATACCACTTCACGAACCACAGCGATCCCAGAAACTGGAACGGAAATTGCAAGAATTGGGTGAGTATATATGGGTCAGACTTATGACGACCATCGTGATGCGGAACCTATAAACGTAGAACAATAAGTCTTTTTATTTGTTCGTCTGGACTGCAGATTTCAAGCTGGCAAAAAGTTAAGACGATTTTACATATGTGAGCCAAAAATAAAAAGAGAGAATGGAAGACCATAAAAACAATTGCAAGTGCAATCCCGCGTAACTTGCAGTTTCGTCAATATCACTATATGAGTGAACCAATCACAGCCTCAACATGCGGTTATGACGGTTAAGTCACATATTCGCCAATCAGCCAGATTAATCCTATAGATCCAAAGAGATCCACGTGGAAGGACTTGAACCTCCTCGGGATTGCACTTGTTAGGAATCAAACCTATGGATTGTTGGGAGTCCGTATAGACCCACTTTTAGCCGTCACCCACAACGCGATATACTACCATTGCACCAGGCCTGTATTATGCGCTTTAGTTTGTTGGGGTATGTGGAAGGTGAGGGTATATCAATGGGTGAATATCTAGCGAGCAATTTGTCATTGTGATGTTGCTGGCCATGGTTTTGTGTCTAAATGGAATTGCAGGATTGTCTTGTGTTTATCAAGTATGGTCAATCTGGATTCCAACTTCTTACAGAACGAATATGGCTACATGAAGGGATTGGAAGCGATTAAGACTTGATTTATTTGTGCGCAAGGGAGTTGATGGAAAAAGGTTATGAAGTAGGCGAAAATGATTAATCAAAGTCGCCTGGTTTTTTGGGAATTTATTTATGTGGAATCTGCAGATACATCAATTAGCATCAGTTCAGTTCTTTTGTTTGGATGGATTTAAGAAAACTCATTGAACACCGAGGGAGGTGTTATTCCAAGATCGAGTGTCTTACCCATTTCCAAGCTTGAGACACTTTCCGTCTCTTGCGATTCTCATACTATCTCAACTTCAGATACCACAAGGCTCGGGCGCTATGAGATGCACAGTTTTGTAAATATGACGCTATCAATTGGAATAATGATGATTTGGAGAGAACTGTAAATGCTTCTCAAATGGGTACGCGGGCGCAGCATCAACACATTCACTGTACCATGAGAATTAATTCTTTGATTAGAAGTGGAGCTCCCCCAAGCAGCATCCAAAAACGACTTTATTGTTCTGTCACTTCTTCGTAAAGATTCGAATTTTTCTACAAGCTTGCGACACCAAATAGTCTTCCAAGTTGACGAGTAGACCAGTGATTCGCTGAATTTATCATCAAAATCATGGCTCCTTACATAGATAAGGGAAAGAAGAGAGAGAGAATATTGCACCGCAACGGTCCTACTGCTCAAGCGCAGCCTTCAGAGGAGTCAAAACAGAGTGGGTTTACCTGAGTCTGATTACTTCCTTTTTAGTATCACCCATAGAGATGGATGGTTAACAAATCAATGTTTCATAGAGAAGGATAAGCCAAAACGTAAGGACTTCCGCATCTTTAGTCGTTACTGCGCGCATCTACCCATCTCGTGGGAACGCATTCTTGACCGTGTTGTAATTATTGCTGTTATACATTGCATTTACCATCGCTTACCTGCTGATACGATACTACAAACAGGGAAGATGTCCAAGAATTTTGCGGCTCGATCTGCTATGGCTGCGAAACTGCGTCAGGAACGCCGCAATCAGCGCCGGCTCGCAAAGCGCGCAGCCTGGAGTTCGAAAGATGCGGGAACTGACGTTGACGTTGGTATGAAGGCGGATGAGGAGGGGAAAGATGAAGATCCCAACGACAACGTCGATAAGGCGATGAATATGTTGGAGGATAAGAATAATAAGGATAAGGAAAGAAACGGGGATGAAGGGGATGGGAGTCGCGGAGCTGGAAGTAGCTGGGAAATTCCTATTCGGTAGATCTTCTTTTTGTAGATGTCGCACTTTGCTATCACCGAAATAATTCCCAAGTATTAATCTGTCTATTCTAGAGGTTTGAATTGTACCCTATGATTGGCAGTTTTGAATCTCTAAGCTTAAAGATTGAATGCTGCTGACCTTGTAGCCTGTTATATTACAAAAGTATCTTATATGAATGATTCAAGCAGAGAGACATACGTAGACCGACGAACACGCAAAGACACACACTTACTATTTAGAATGTCTGTGGGCTCGTGTGAATGGAACCTCACATCGCATTTTCTTCAGTCAATTGAAATCAAATAGACTAAAGTTTAATTGAACCATCACTATTGAACTCTTTGCATTTCTGGACAGACATAGTGGTGAGTCTCTAGTGACTCTACGTGGCTGAGTCATGCAAACAAGCATAAAAAAAGAAGAAAAAAAGATAAAGATATCGTTACGGCCCTCAAAGAAGTATCTCAGGAACACTTGACCAGATTCAAGGTACACAAGTACGGACTTCATTTCGTAGATGTGACATCTGTCAGATGGTCGCCTCGGTAGAATTAAATCCACTACGCGGTGGACTGACGCCCACCAATCCAAAGATGGCTCCTTCAGAAGACAGGTGTGAGCCTGTTTTCTGTATCCCCCCAGAACAAGTATAATCACGTATGCTACCCACTACACTAGGTCTGCGGCCGCAATTATTTCATTTTGTTAACGATTATGTACTGATAGAATATAAGTACTCGAAGTTAAGCGAGATTGGGAAACCTTGGTTAGTGGTGGATATCTACCTAGGTAAATTTGTAAAACAATCTCAACTATTCCATGCGCTCGAGTGAAGGGATGAATTTCGGAGAATGACAGTGGTATTATACTTTCGAACAAATATCTGGTTGGCTCAGAGTAGAACCTAAGTGTCAATCGGAGGAGTACACTCAACGTAGGTGGGATTTAGAAACCTGTATTCCAATAGCACAAGAATCTATTTGAGGAAATACTAAAATATTACGAGATAGATCATTATTGTCTACATGATAAAGAAAGCTACAATGCTCCATGCTATTGGTAGCCAGATTGAAGTATCGCTGGAAGTGGTTCTGATCGATTGGCAATGAAGTGACGTTAGGTATTGTACTTTAAACTTAGTCAGAACCCCACCTGTTTACTCAGGGCTACCGACGTCGTGCGTAAGAGTCAAAGAGAACAGAAGGTTACCAAAAGGGCTGGGTGACGAGTGTTTCTGTTCAATCAACTTCTGATATTGTGAGACTATAATCGAAAGAGACCAGCCGCCGAACGAAAGATTGGGAATATCAATAGGCTCAAACAAGATGCCGTCAGGAAACTCCAAAATCGAGTCTCCATCATGTATTGACTTATTACGAACTCCAGCTTGACTACTTGGCGGCACTTGTTTTCCCGAAGAATGTAAACAAAAGAACAAGCTTTTCTGATCCTTACATATAGGCTGCCGGGAACCTCTCTTCTTTTCCGGGATCATTTTGTTGAGGCTGTGTATTTATCTTCTTTTCTCATATTCCAGAGACTTCCCAATTGTCTACTTAGCATATTTCCATGCCCAAAAGCTGCAAAGGTTGCGCAGTACCTATATCCGCGATGATAATACATCTTGTTGCAAATGCGCGCGACATCTGCCGCGTGCACTATTCGCAGATTGAGAGCGGCTTAACGGCAGGTAGTCGTGGTTTTTCGAATTCGGAAGATCGATCAGTCCGCTGGGGAGCCTAGTGTGCGCCAACAGTTAGCATTGTTTTAGTTATATTCGTTATCGAATTTTGTGAAATTTGGAGGGGGTTTGAGTGGTACGTTGAGCGGAATTAAGGTCCTGCTTTCTATGGTATCATGTTTTCTGTTCAGATGAACCTACGATGACAAGTATCAGACCGGCAGTGTTGATGAAGCTCAGGCCGCAGGCGAAAGGTTTTGTAGATGTAGAACTAGAGAACGGCTTTTCTCTACTCCTTTCTTTTGGTCATTGGTGCTTGGTAATTAATTCCAAAGAACCAATGTTAATAGAATGCCGCCATGTAGCTGTTGCACGTCAGTTTTGAAGTATGGCGCAATCGGTATTGAAATAAGTCTGTGAAATATAACAGTAAGGGCTGTCAAAACAAGTGAGAGGTGTATCAATTACCCAAAGCACTAGGCCGCGTCTCTTAGGCAACAGAAGAGACTGAGCCATGCTGAACTGAAGCTATCGTCTAATGTAGGCGAGCGAAAATGTGAACATCGGATGTAAACAAATCAATAATAACAAATATACGCGACTTGCAACCGACCACTGCCTCTTCACGCACTCCCATTCTATCGAATTTACATTGTTAAATCAAACTTCTATATCTGCTCGTTCACTCGCTATTCACTAGTAACACATTCAATCATGCCTCCAAAGAAAGAACCGAGATTTAAGCCCAAGGCCAAGAGGGCGAATAATGAATTGAGAGCCGAGAGAGCTAGAGCGGAGAGAAAGAGGTTGGCTGCAATTGCAGCACATGCTGCTGCCGTCCGAGTAGAAAGGGGTAAGCCAACTTCCTTCATAGCACCATGCGCTTTGTTGAAGCCATGAGTTGGTGTATCATTTTTCAACGTGAAATAATTGAGATATGTTCATAGCTGCACATGTTCATATCTGTAAATGTCCCAATTTTATCCATGATTATCATGGTGTGCCTGAGAACCTCACCGTTGTACTCTTCATACTAACAAATGCTACCATGACAGAGCAAGAAGAGTCGAGGATGAGAGAGGGAGAAGGAGAGGAAGAGGAAAGACGTGGTGCTTCGGCACATAATCCTTCTGGCACTGGTGGATTCTGGGTGGGGGGTAATGAGCGTTGGGATGAGGAGGGAGGAGATCTTGCGGGCGTTTCTGCGGGCATTAGCTCCAGCACGTTTTCCGGTCTAACATATAGACCAAAGAACGGTAAGAGGAGTTATTCATTCTCATCGATGAGAAAGAACCAGGCTAATCATGTTGATGTATGCAGCACCCACGCCTGCGCAAATGGAGGAGCAGCGCCAGAAGCAAAATGAGCGCCGCAAGGCACACAAAAGAAAGGTTCGGCAGCTTAAGCGCGAGGCGGCAAAGAAAGCCGATGCCAAGATTGTTAAGGGTATGGCCCGTTTGAGAATCGCGGAGCGGATTGCGGCGGGAGAGGAAGTCGCTTTTGATGAGGACGAGGACGAGGAAGAAGAAGATAGGCTCTGGACTACGGTCCTCGGTAACTGGAGTCTACCGGACGATGACGATGACGACGATGTATGTGGGGGAGCTGGTGGGCTCGGGGATTCATTCGGGGGAGGATCTGCTGGCGCTGGAGGCCAAGGAGTAAACCAACTCCTTCTCTCCGGAAACTAAATTGCGTGTTGTTTCGTTGCTTTGCGAGCTCTACGGTGGTTAATAGATAGAGTGCCGAGCTCCACATGCCTTTGGATTGTGGGCGGAGTCTTGGGCTCTATCTTGATCTGTCGTAGAGCCGCATCGCATTTTATTTTATGAGTTAGAGCTGCTCTGAGAGCTGAACGGGTTGTAGATAATATCGCGATTTTTTCAATTATGCGAGATCATTTGATTTATACACATTTCTTTACCGTAGCGATGAGAAAGCACCACCTCAACATCACCAACCATCCAATCCAACATCTCCTACACAAGAGAAATTCAATAAACTAACTAACTCTCTTATCCACACATCACATAAAGTAAACTCCCCAAAAACATATTGTATATCGGACATCGTACACCTCAGCGAATATCGGACATTTGATATCTTACACCCCAGCGAGTGATCCCAAGCCATCAAATAATTAAGTAATTAAGATATATATAGATATACCTACCTACCTACCTACCCACCTACCCACCCAGAAAAACAATCCAACCAACCAAACTTTCCCCGCCAGATAATGTATCGCCCAGAAAAATTCAATAAATACTGAAAATATAACTTCGAATGAACTTCTCCCAGCACTCTGAGAGATGATAATCCAGATCCCGATAACATATACGATATACCACACTCAGTTGAAGATACATTGATTAGCAAACTATGCCAACCTAGATAATGCTGATCGTCTGCTATTCTATGCCTTCTCATATATGGAAACCTTCTGCTGAATCAGATCCGAGTCACGCTAGTGATATTAGCCTCCACCCCCTCTTCTCCACGCCTTGCTCTCCTTCTTCTACCCTGATGAATTTCAGAACCCAGAACCACATTTTATATTCCGAATACTAGCCTCGCATCAACTCACTCACATCACTAATCATACTTTAAATTTCAAAAATCACATGATAGTGAAACTCATCGGTCTTCATTCATTCATTCTAGCGTGATATCTATCTAAAATGATCCAGCCTAATCTACCAAGTGTACGCTAAAATTCAAGCAAAAGAGCTGATGATTCAATCAAAATAAAAGATCTATTGAGGAATGCCGGTACCACGGATAGCATCGACTTGTTCGCTGAGAAGAGCGTTGTTGGATGGAGCAGCGAGAGGTGGTCCTTCGGGGGTGACGTAGGCTTTTGTCATACCGCCGTCGACAACGAAATCCTTTAGTTGATGTCAGACAAGAGGGTTTTGGGGGCTTATAAAATGGTGGGAGGATAGGGATGGACGGAATCAAACAAAAGGAAAAGAAAAACATACCTGTCCGTTGACAAAGCTACTCTCATCACTAGCCAAGAATAAAACCGCTTGAGCTTGCTCAATAGCCTCTCCAAATCTTCCACTTGGGAAGTGGATCTCACGTCTAAGTCTCTTGGGTTGATCATCTCCCAACCAATCTTGAAGAAGAGGAGTGTTCAATGGAGCTGGGCATAAGGCATTGAATCTGAATCCCTCTCTTGCGTGAACAATAGCCAATTCTCTTGTCATGGCCAAAACTGCTCCCTTGGAAGCGGTGTATGCTAATTGAGGAGTAGCAGAACCGACGAGCGCAACAACAGATGCAGTGTTGATGATAGAACCACGGCTCTTCTTGT